TCCTTCTTTCCTTTCTTTCCTTCCTTCCTTTTCTCTTGTTCTCACAGCAACTCTGAATAATGCTTTTTTACCTCCATTTTTATGGATGAAGAAATTGAGGTTTAAAGAGAAAGTGATTTGCTTGAGGCCTCCTTAAAGTCAGGTCTTTCTGACTCAAAGTGCATTTTACTGATTGCTACATTTTCAGAATGTTGCTTTTTTGTTGTTTTGTTTGTTTGTTAAGGAGTACCAAACAGAGAGAGGGCTGACAATTTAGTTAAAATGTCAATTCAGGAATACATGCCTAAAGAGCCGCTTGATCTATATCCTGACTTTATCTATATCCTCAATTTGAAGTATCAGTTGAAGAGCTTGTCTGTGTCTAGTTATATGTTCGAGTTTGACACATAATCAGATTCGTGACCCTGATTCACTTGTGTCAGTTGTCCCAGATTTTAGGCGATAGTGTATTCTCAGTAGTAGAACTGCCAAACAAATTTATCCATTAAGTAATGTTGGGAATTGGTTAGCTTCCTAGAAGCAGAATTTGTCAACCTGATAAACCTGCTCTTATAATAGCATCATCTTGTGTATTTGACGTGAAAAGTGTGTGTGTATTATATCCATGTTAGTTTAATAGCTGAGTTGAGACAACTGAAATTCTTTCCCCCTTCGCCCAATGGAAACCAGGGCCTTGTGCATGCTAGTCAGTTGCTCTACCACTGAGCCACACTTACAACTGTGAAATTTTCAGTTCTTTTTTTCTTCCCTTGGTGATGGTAGTGGAGTTTAAACTCAGGGCCTTGCGCTTGCTAGGAAAGTGTTCTCCTATTTGAGCCATGTTCTCATTCCTTTGTTTTTCTTGTGGAACTAAGACTTGAACTCAGGTCTTCATGCTTGCAAAGCAGGTGCTGTACCGCTTGAGCCACCCCTTCAGTCTATTTTTTTTGCTTTGGTTATTTTGGGGATGCGGTCTTAAGAACTATTTGTCTGTGCTGGCCTCAGACCTCCATCCTCAATTCCTAAAGTAGTTAGCATTACAGATGTGAGCCACCAGCATCTGGCTCCTCATTCCTTTTTTGCTTTATTTATTTATTTTCTTAAACAGGGTCTTGCTTTTTTGTCCATGGTTGGCCTAAACTTCAATCCTCCTATTTTTATACTTCCCAAATAGCTGGGATCACAGGCATATACTATGGTGCCTAGCTTATTGGTTAAGATGGGGTTTCGTTAACTTTTTGCTGTGGCTGTCCTTGAACTGAGATCCTCCTGATCTCTGCCTCTGAGGAGCTGAGATTACAGGTGTAAACCACTGCTCACGGCTGAAATTCTCAATTCTTTTTTTTTTTTTTTTTTCGGTACTGGGGCTTGAATTCAGGGCCTTCACCTTGAGCTACTACACCAGCCTATTTTTTGTGAAGGGTTTTTCGAGATAAGGTCTCTTGAATTATTTGCCTGGTTTAGCTTTGAACTGGGATCCTTCTGATTTCTGCCTCCTGAGTAACTAGGATTACAGGCTCTGTTAAGGCAGTTTTTAATAAAAGTTGTATATAAGAGTACTTTATTCTGGCATCTTCTCAATTTGTTTCCTCCTTACATTTGCCCTTTTTCTTTCCAGGATCTTTTTGCAGTCTTGGTCTAATTTTATCCTGATGATAACCACCTGGCTGGGGTGAATACCCACATGGACAGTTGTGCCATTAGCCTTTTCCCACTGTACCCAGTCAGTGTAGATGACATATTTCTTCCAGGAAACCTGGACTGCTTTGCCAGTCTGTTGACCTTTGTAGTGCCCCTGCGCAACCTGAACCTCATCATCCTTTTGGATGGGCACGGATCGAATATTATACTTCTGTCTCAGCTTGGAACTCGGGGAAGACATGATCTTCCTGCAAATGTGGGATAGTGCGCTAAAATGCCTTTTACCGTTCTTGCTTCAGTCAGAAGTTGCAAAGGGATTGAACTTCATTTTGGCTGCTGCAGCTTCGCAATGGCTGCAAAAGGGGATGTTTTCAATTCTTAGGGTGGTAGCATTCAGAAAAACTCCATGTATGCATTCTGCTTTTGGGATTATTACTTGATGCTCTTCAGATGACACTTACCTAGTCCTAATCCTCTTTGTACTGATCCCAATTTATTGTTACAGTTGACTTCAATTAGTTATATATGCTGTAGTTAATAATATAAGCCAACTTTATATATAAACCTTTACATATTGTCTGTAAGCCAACTTTCCTAGCTTAGATGTTATGTTCTAATTTTTTTGGTTTGGTGATGCCAGAGATTGAACCCAGGGCTTTGCACATGTTAGGCAAGCACTCTACCACTGAGCTATACCCCCAGCCCTATGCTCTAGTTTTTTTATTTTGGATTTGTTTTTGACAGTACTAGATTTCAGCACTTGTTAGGCAGGCATTCTGCCACTTGAGCCATACCCCCAACACTAGTTTTTAAATCTTGATTCTGAGAATAAAAAACAAAGCAAGCAAATTTTCTTCCCACCTTCACCCCTACCACTGAGCTATACCTACAGCCCTAAGTTATATATTTTTTTAGGGAACTTATAGGGAAATTGCTAGAAAATACCAAGTAATTGTTGGAATTGATGTGTTTTAGTTCTGACTACTGTCTTTTTGGAGATATCCTCGTCTTCCTTATCTGTTATCCCTTTTTCTGAATTCTTTCAGTATTATAACTATGTTGCCCTATGCATACACATACTTTGTTTTGCTTTTGTGGGACAAGGTCTTAATATGTAGTCCAGGCTGGCTTCAAACTTATGATCTTCCTGCCCTAGTCCCCAAGTGCTGTGATTCCAGGTGTGTACTACCTCATGGGGCTAATATTTCTGTATATGTTTTAGAGTGGAATCTTTTTTTTTTTTTTAGAGTGGAATCACATGGGAAGCTATTGTGATGTTTTCCCTGAAAGTTTCAAATCTAATTTTACTTTTCCAAACACAAAAATCTCAATCTCTCCCTCCCCTCCCCTCCCCTCCCTTCCCCTCCCTTCCCCTCCCTTCCCCTCCTCTCTATTTTGGCATTACTGGGGTTTGAACTCAGGGCCTCATGCTTGTTAGGCAGGTGCTCTACCACTCAAGCCATGCCCCCAACCAAAAATGTCTTTATAGGCACCTTTGTTTTCCCTGTATCTCTTCAGAGGGCATGGTGGGCATCTGAGTAGATTGGTGTAGAAAGAGGAGAGAAGAAGGAACTAGGTTTATGCTGTGCTGTCCTTTCCACAGAATATTAGAATATTTCCAAGAGACAAAGATAAAGGGGAGAAGATAGGCTCTCTTTTTGGGTGGAGTCTTCTGTACTCATTTCTTTTAAAGGTGTGACCTAAGTCCCTAAGTGTAATAACTTTGGGGGACACTTGTCATTAAAGCAAGTATAACAACTCATCTAGAAGTTCCCTTCCAGATCAGCAGATTTATTTATTTTCAGCCACTAAATGTTATTTAAATGGAAAAAGATTTCTTAAAAGACCTGGGAAAATTTTTGCAGAGCTTGGGATTGGGCTGGTTTGTGTTCTGGGTTTTGGTCCATGGGCTTTGGTTTATGAGAACTGTAGTATTACATGCTGTTTCAAGAGAAGGGGATTAAAAGTAAAGCCAGTAAGGTAGAGACAATGCATTGCTTGGTCAGATAGGGAAGAAAAACAATAGAACTGCCCCTTTGACTTCCCCATCGGAAGCAGAAGCCCATAAATTTGTGAAGAATTGGGGGCCATGTTCAAAGGCTTCACTTGTAAAACAAACTTCTGTTCAAAGTAGCTATTTGAAGCACACTTTTTAAGGTGTGCTTTCCTATACATGGTGCTTCAATTTTTTTAATTTTTAATTTTTTGGCAGTATGGGCCCTTGAACTTAGGGCCTCACACTTGTTAAGCAGACACTCTACCACTTGAGCCACTCTGCCAGAGCCACATGATGCTTTAAGAACAGGTCTGACGGGTGTGGTGGCTCCCACTTGTAATCCCAGTACTTGGGAAGTTGAGGTAGGAAGATTTCAAGTTTGAGGCCAGCCTGGGCTATATAATGAGACTCTGTCTTTTAAAAAAAAAAGCCAGGCATGATGAACACAGCTGTAATCCCAGCAACTCAGAAAATGGAGGCAGGAGAATTATGAGCTGGAGGCCAGCCTGGGCAAATTTAGCCAGATCCCATTCAAAAATAAAAACAAGACCATGGAGGACATGAGCTTAATTAATAGAGTGCTTGCCTAGCAAGTATAAGTCCCTGGGTCATGGACTCTGTCCCATAATGAGCTCTCTGAATTTTTTCTTTTCATTTACTACCCTAATACACTGTGCTGGGTTGTTCTTCATGCTAGGTTTTTTTTTTTTGAACTGAGGGCCTCATGCTTGCTAGGCAGGCACTCTACCACTTAAGCTATTCCACCAGCCCAAATGTCAAACAAGAGATAGGCAGAACACCTATCAGAGAGTGACCCTGTGACCCATCACCAACCTTCCATTTATTTTTAATTTTATTTTTGGTGGGATTGGGGTTTGAGTTTGTTTTTGCTTTTTTTCTTTTTTTTTAAGTTTTCTTCTTTCTATCTCCCTCTCTTTGTCTCTCTCTGTCTCTCTCTCTCTCTTTCTTTCTTTCCTGTTTCTTTATTTGTAGGGACTGGGGTTTGAACCCAAGGCTTCTGTGCTTGCAAAGCAGATGTTCTACTGTTTGAGCCATACCTCCAGTCCCACTCCAGCTTTTCATCAGTTTCTCTGGCACTGCATAAACTGCTCTGTTTTGAGTGGCCTCCCTTAGTGGCAGTCGGTTGGTACATATTACTATCAGAAATCTGATTGGAAGCCTGTTAAGTCTCCAGTAAAAACTTAAATTTCTGTAGTCTGACCCTCCGTATCTTCTTTTGGGAGACATTCACTGTATGTGATAATAGTCACAGGGTCTGTCATTTTATCTGAGCAGAACTCCCTGAGTATAGTGGTATACTTTGTGGAAGTGCTTTGCTGGTCTTATTTAAGTATCTTAGCCTATGTGCTTTCTTTCAATGCAGATGAACAGGAGGCATTGGATTCGATCATGAAGGACCTGGTGGCCCTCCAGATGAGCCGACGGCCCCGGGTATCTGGATATGAGACCATGAAGAATAAGGACACAGGTCACTCAAATAGGCAGGTGTGTATGGCTCTCATAAAGCTTAACTAGATTTGTTGGGGAGGTGTTTTCAAATGGGAACTATATGAGAACCCAAAACTTTTCCAATACTAGTCCTGAATTCTGTTATATGGTAAGTGGTATAGGGACCCAACCAGTGTGGATCCACAATCTGGAATTTCAAGGCCTTGAGCATAGCATTTCATCTGTATGGGGAAAAATAATTCCTTCACTTGTTACGCAGCCAATATGCATATAAAGTTTTAACCTTTACTGATTATTTGGCAGACTAGATTTATATCCCTAACTCAGGTTTTTAATTACCTTACAGTATATACTCAGGAGACTGGGGATGTAGCACAGTGATAGAATGCTTGCCTAGCATGTACAAGGTCCTGGGTTTGGTCCCCAGCACCACAAAAAACAAACAGTATGTCCTCAGGAAAAATTAACTAATTTTGGTATTAGCTTGCGTAAAATACAATTATGAAGAGAAATTTCTTTAATAAAATGCCATATGATATACTCTAAGGGCAATAATGGTTGACTTTGTTGTTGTTACTATTTCCCATTATGGACTTAGGTAGTTGAGAGAGCTTGTTTTATTGACTCACATGCTTCTTTAGAAAAACATTTCCTATTTTTGCTGTTACTTAAACTTGTATACTGTTGAGAATCTCCTTCTTACCTCTGGTGTCATTTATTGTCCTGTTTCCTGAGTACTTTGGCCTGCAAAGAAGGGTGGATGTATGGGAAGCTTTTCTGTCTAGTGGGTATCCAGTGCTAACATTTTCCCTTGTGTTTCTTTCTCTTATTAGCCAGCCTCCTTTCTTCTCATTTGCATTTTGTCTACCAAGTCTCTAGAACTTTTCCTATCCATGATCTGCTAGATATAGCTTCCAGAATATTTCCTGCCTTTAGGAATTGTAGGTACCCTAGTGATAGGGGGAGTGGTTTTGTTCCATGTTATAATGGAAAGATTTGTTTTGAAAGTTGCTTTTATTGTTATAATTATCTTACAGAGTTGTGAACAACGAACTATAGCACATTCTTGTACTATTTTCATACATTATTCTGTCTAATTGTGTGGGTTTTCCCTTGCTGTAACTTACTTGTATTCAAAGCCACTTTGGGAAGGAGCATTTTATCAGAAGTGAGCCCTTCCCCCCCAGGGTGAGTCTAATGACCTCACTTTCCTTCCTGTCTTCCTATGGAGTATGCATTCCAGTTAGCTGATCTTTCTCCAAGTGGGATTATTAGCATGGATAGCAGTTAGTGGGTAAAAAAGGGGAAGCTTTCTTGATTCAAAAGACTTAAAGGGACCAGTATGGGGGGAAAAAAAAAAAGGCGTAGAAGTAGTCCCTGTAATTCCTTTAAAGGGAGGCTTAAAGCCTAAAAGCTACTATAAGACTATAAGAAAAGTCCTGTGGTGTTTTTGTTTTTGTTTTTGTTTTTTTAAATGTTCCTGCCGCTGTTATTCGAGTGAAGTCAGTGTTTATGGAGGTGAAAAGGACTGACAACTTGTTAGAAAGTAATCTTAACGAGATACTGGCTCTTTGGACCCACAATTTACTTGACGAATGTCAGACTTTTTTTTTTTTCCTGTGATATGGAGGATACAAATTATTAACCGTAGTTTTTTTGTTTTTAAAGAAAAAACACAACAGCAGCAGCTCAGCCCTTCTGAACAGCCCCACAGTAACAACAAGCTCATGTGCAGGGGCCAGTGAGAAAAAGAAATTTTTGGTAAGGACCCAAATTACCTGTTAAAGCTGAAATGTGCTTTTAAATCTGCTACTCATACTAGAAGAGTGGAATTCATTTTCCTGGACAAGTTGTTTTAGTGGATTTGTAGAGTTCATTGGTTGCTTATGACCCATGTGATTGATAGAGATGTTCTGTATTCATACTGTCCAATACATTAGCCACAAGCTATGTGAGGCTGTTGAGTAAGTGAGCAAATAAATTTTAATTTTAATTAAGTTAAATAGACACATGTGGCTAGTGGCTATTGTATTGAGTAGCACACTTTATAAATCATGTAAGGGACTGTTGATTTGTTGGTCAAGAAATTAAGTGTATGCTTAAATATGTGCAGAGATTCATTGGTGGATTCATTCCTTCTATACAGGTCATGAGCTTCTACACATTGTAATAAATTTATCAATGGGAATCCTATCTAAGATTCTATTCTTGGGGGGAAGATGAAGCTGAAGAACTAACATGGTTTTTTAAAAACTGAAACTCAAGATTTTATACTAATATTGGATACAAAGGCAATGAAAATCTCAAGATAGCTTTTCCCTTTAATGAAGTCAAGATTGTAGAATGATCTCTCCTGGGAAGTGTAGCAGCTTCTGAGCAGGAAAGGTACTCTTCAGCAAAATCCTGAAAACTGAAAGCAACTGCATTTCTAGAAGAGGTAGGGTGAGATGGAGGTAAAGGGAATGCATGGGGAACAGTTTAGTGTACTGAAAAGAGCCTGGCAATGTTAATGATCTGCTGAGGTGGAACTTTACAATTTATAGAGGGAATTACCATTTATTATTATTATTGTTTTCATTAAATTTTGTTGGGCTAGGATGAAATAGTTTTTATTGCCAGTTCTTCTGCCAGAAGGCCCATGCTTAAGAGGAAAGAGGCATGAAAGACCAAACCTAATTTAAATGGCTAAGAAATGTCAGATTGGACTAAGAAATGTCAAATTTGGCTAAAATTCATATTGCAGAGTCATAGTTGAAAATAATCTTGTATTTTGGCTATTTGGCTAGTGGGAAAGGTTGTTTATTCAAGGATGGAATGGTGTTGGCAGAGGCAAACAGCTCTTCAGTGTGAGAATGGCAGTGCTAGCTACAAGGCTGAGTTGAGATTGGCACAGCCTCATGGGGCTCAAGCTCAGCACAGCAAAGAAAGCCAAAGGAACTGGGTTCATTGACAGATTTGTTTGGGCTGAGGCCTAGAAGAACTGAAGAACCTAATTTAAATCTCTTTTTGGCAAGACTTTAGACATCCTCTTCCCAAAGTAAACAAGCTTGGTAACTAATTGAAAGAGAGTATGCATTTGAAAACAAATAAGGATACTGAACAGCTATGCAAGTACATGGGCTAGAGTGCTTAGCTATGAACTGTTTGCCAGGAAGTAGTTTCTGAGTTCTTGTATTCTCTCTTCTGAAAGCCAACACCATAGAACTGACCAAACATTTTAGATTTTTTTTTTTTTTCCAGTACTGGGGTTTGAACTCAGGGCCTCACACTTGCTAGGCAGGCACTCTACCACTTGAGCCATGCCACCAGCCCTTAAGAAGAACCAGGTAGCAAACTCAGGTTTCTTGAGGCCTAATCACATCACAATAATTTCAGTAATATAATATGAATATAATCTTTCTGAACCTCAGTTTTTCTATCTGATATATAGAAATAATGGATACCTAGAGTGTTTACCTCTTATGATTATTGTAAGATCCTGGACAGAATGTAAAATATCTTGTGTATTGTTAAAAAAAACTCAACAAATGTGAAGTTATAGTGATGATATAACCTCTATTGTGTCCTGGCACAGTGAGTATGAGCTTTGGGAAGACTCAGACAACTTCTACCAGTACTATTCATAGTGTTGTGGAACGACAAAGGTGAGGCTTTTCTGCCTTTATTGCATTGTCTTTATAGACTATCTGACTGATGGTCTTTTGCAAACTTACGTATTTAGACTGATTTCTGAATATCCTAGTGGAGGAAGAAATGGAATCCTATTTCCAGGAATTCTTATTTTCCTTGAATCATATCTGAATGGTAGGTAGCTTAAATAGCACCAGAGTCTGGATCTGACTCTCCAGTTGTTCACCAGTATGTGCTTCAGAATGGAAAAGCTGTTTTCGTCATGCAGGGCACAAGCAGGGTAAGGGCCTTGGCTATCAGTTCTAGAGGAAGAGAATTCTAGGAATTAGTCCCCTCACAGGGTCAGTGATTGAGCAGGCTGCCTTTTGCTTTTACTGTGATAGACCTGGCTCTTCAGGACTTCCCTTCTCTCTCAAGGGTTATTGATAAGACAGGCTGGCCAGTTTGATAATAAGACATGTAGCAATACACAAGTATGGCATTATTTTTTAAAGAAGGTTGGTTTATAATTGTCCTTTCCATTGATTTCTCATTACTTTCCTAAGTCACACAAATAAAATTTTAGGGGCTGGGGATGTAGCCCAGTGAAAGAGTGCTTGCATAGCATGTGTGAGGCCCTGGGTTCAATCCCCAGTACTGCAAACCAAACAGAAAAAATAAATAAATAAAACTTATTTTTATTGCCCTTTTCTTTTTCTTTCATTTATTTACTATCATTGGCAAAATAAGTTCCAAAGACATGGGGAGCCATCAAAAGCATATAACAAATACAGGAAGAAGGAGCAATACAGAATCAGAGAGATGATAGCTGAGGCCTTATTTCCCCCTGGTGATACTGGGATTTAAACTTGGGCTTTGTGCTTGCTGGGCAGGCACTCTACCACTTTAGCCACATCCCCAGCCCTGGCTGAGGTCTTTGCCAGGTCAAATTTGTTTACAAATCTTTGTTTAATAAACATTGTTTGATTTTTGTGGATTCTTGATTTTTTTTTGGACTCTTGGATGACCTATTCAACTGCTGAGCCCAGACTTTGAAAAGGTCATTCTGCTTAAATTTGGTGCTATCATTGGTTACTCTTGCTGCTCCTGCTGAATTTTTTTTTTTTCGAATCATAAATTCAGCCTTGAGGCTTGCTCTGTCCCTCTTCTGAGCGTGGCTCTCACTGTTCCTCTCACCAATTAACTGTGGTGGATAGAGGACTTGAACATGCTTAAGTCCGAGTTTTTGTACTGGAATTTCTTTCTCAGCAACTCTGGTACCTTTCCATTAAGTTCAACATACACCTATAGTAAATCTTGCTAAATGTACACACACAAAAATGTAAGTCGTATTCCCTATACCATAGGAGTCATGCAGTCTTACTAGGAAGTGAGAAATGCATGAAAAGAAGGAAGGAAGGGAACGGGAAGGGGTTGAAGGGTGGAGGGGCGGAGGGAGAGAGTGAAGAAGGAGAGAGGGAGAGAGACAGAGAGAGAGAGATTGAGAGAGAGAGATTGAAATTCCATAACTGAAGAATATCACTGATTATCTTTTTCTTTTTCTTTTTCTTTTTTTTTGGTGGTACTGGAGCTTTTAACTCAGGACCTTTTAATGATCCTTACCTCCAGTATTCAATCTGCATACCCCCCCACACACACAAATGGGGAGCTGATGTAGACACATGGCTAGGTTAAGTCTGAGGTTACAGTAGAAAAATGACTGAGGATGCTTGAGGTATATGTGTGTGGACAACTGTGTGTGCTTTGATTTTTTGCAGGTCTACAGGTCCTTATCTTCAGTTCTGAAATGCAGAGTTCTGCAAACTGAAGGGTTGGGTTTTTGTTTGTTTGTTTTAATTTGCAGCAAACTCATTTGGCAACAAAACAAGCCTTATATTGTGTTAACCACAAATCTCAGTGACTTAATATAGTATGTCCAGTACGAGGAGGGGAAGGACAGTATTCACCACAGTTGCTTAATCTGTGTTGAGGAGGGGCCCCACTGTTTTGGGACATGCAACTGCCAGGGAACTCAGTTCAGTAAAACTCAGTTCTCTCCCCCATTCTTGGTCAGAACTAGACATAAAGTCTCTAACTAACTTCAGGAAATGCAGGAAATACTTGGAAGCATTTTGCCTCTGCCTTAGGTTGCTGCCCTAGCCACTACCCCTGTGAGGAGGGAGGCATCATGTGATATGCATAGTATTTACCATCCTGCCTCTCTGAAGTCCTAAATGTGCATTCTAAATACTTTTGACCCCAAGGACTTTGGCTAAAGGATAATGGACCTATAATATCATTTGTTGAGCATTCTGTATTAGATACCATTCTAGTCTTTTCACTCATTGTATAATTTAATTCTTAGATAAGACTGTCAGATAAATACAGTAATTATTCTGACTTTACAGAAGAGGAAACTGAGTCACCAAGAGGTTACTAACAAGTTTAGGGTTACATAGCTAGGTAATTGTGAAACCAGGATTTTCAACTTTCAAAGCAGACAGTTTTGACCCTAATGCTACATTCTTAACAGCTACATACCTGGTTTCAAATATGTGGCAGATAAATGAAGCTCTGTTTCATAGATGGGGGCTACATACAAAGATTTGAGAATCTTCTATTTAGAGCTTGACTGATTAAGGTCATCCCTACTGAGAAGATGTGAGGAGAGGAGGAGAAAGCCAGAAGTCAAAAATGTATGGTCACATGTTGGGGGGAGGGGTGGGAGAAGGCATGAAGAAGAGGGAACCAGTGAAGAAGCAGAAGTGGTGAGAGTGGTTGCAGAGTGAGAGGTCAGAATACAACTTGGCCAGCAGTGTGAAATGCCTCAAAGAGTTCAAGGAGAATAGTTGGTAGGAAAAAATTGGATAAAATTATCTGTATCTGAGCCTTCCTGATAGGAGAAACTCAGACTTTGGAACTTGCCAGATTTAGGCACACTTTGATGGGTGTATGGAAGCTTTTATCCTGTTCTGAAATAACTGTCATGGCATCAGAGAAGGCATCTTTGTTTATACTGCTGGTTAGGCTTTGAGTAGGAATAATTTATGATTTGGCGCAAAAGTTCACTTCCTTTTCTGAGTAACTTCACATAGAACAGTGCTTGGGTTATAGTCTATCATGACATAAATTTAGTTCCTTTAATCCTATACAGGGCCTGAGGAGACTCCTTTATCTGTGTATATAAATATGATGTAGTCCCAGTTAAGAAATGAAAGCTGTTGTCAGGTGTGGTGATTATGCCTGTAATCCCAGCACTTGGGAGGCTGAAGCAGGAGAATCAGGAGTTTGAAGCCAGCCTGGGCTACATAATGAGATCCTATCTCCAAAAAACAAAGAGGGGATGAGGAGGACCTATTGGAATTCTGCTCTTTCTGCTCAAATTTTATGCTATAAGGGCTTCCAGAGTGGCTTAAGTGGTAGAGAGCCTACCTAGCAAGCGTGAGGCCCTGAGTTCAAATGCCAGTACTGCCAAATAAATAATAATTAATAATAAATCTAAAACTGCTATAAAAATCTATTAGTTAAAAACCTGGTCTAGTGGAGTGACTCCAATGGTAGACTGCCTGTCTAGCAAGCACGAGACTCTGAGTTTAAACTGTAGTACCACCAAAAAATTTTTTTATTTATATGTTATATACATGTATAATCTATTGGGTAAAAACTAATATGAGAACCACACCAACTATGCTGGGATATAGACAGGAACAATGAAAAGATTTGGTAACCCAACTGTAAGAGCAGACAAGACTAGAAATTTGGTGAACACTTGGGATAAACCAGAGCCCTACGTGGGAATAGAGTATGGCAAGCTGGAAGCAGTATGTCAGAGTGTGGCAGCATCTCTAAGGGACCATGCTTTGGAGGGTTCTTACAGCAACTGCATAGCAGCTCAGGTAAAGGAAAAAAAAGAAGATGGCAAAAAATCTGCTGTTGCTCATATATAAACCTTGAATCCATACAGTAACTCCCTCCACAGCACTGCCCTCCCTTTCCACTTGCGTATGTGTCTTACTTAGAATGTACATCAGATGGGACACCCTACATCATATAACAACAGCCAAAGACTCCTCTATTAGCTCTCCAGCTTGCTATATGATTAGTACTAGTCTCCTGGTTCTGACTCCACTATTACCCTAGTTATAGGGAGTGTTCCATTTCTTCATTTGTTCCAAAAAGTCAGGTCACATAAGATCCTTTGATAGTGAAATAAATTTCGTTTGCTTGTATGACACTAATTTATAACGTAGTATGTTAATTAATAGCCAGGCTTCTAAGATTTAAATTCTAGAAGAAGGATTCTTCCAGGAGAAGAAGAAACTGAGTTACAATGAGGTTAATTTTCCCCAAGTATGATGTGACCTTGGGGGAACTTAACCTCATTGTAACTCAGTTTCCTCTGTAAAATAAGAACAATAATAATACCTATTGTAAGATTAGTTTAATATATGTAACATGTGGAGAACAATACTTGGTACATAGTAAATGCTCAATCAATGTTAGCTATTATTTTGTGTTATTAGTGGCAAAAGGTCCATATGTTATATGAAAAGATAAAAGGAGCATAGCAGAGCTGCATTTTGGAAAGTTATCACAGCACAGGCCTGGTTGCTCAGGTGAGCCATGCTGTTTGCTGTTCAGTTCATGGACTTTTCAAGGACACTAAGCTCTTTGAGCCTCCATTTCCTTGTCTTATGAGTTAGAAGATAATATTCTTATATTCTAATTCAGTGATTTCTCAAGGTGTGGTCTCGGGAGCCCCTATGACTCTTGTAAGACCATTAAGGAATGGGGGTACATGAAGTCAAAAACTTGTTTTGTTTTTTTTTTTTTCTTTTTCTTTTTTTTTTTTTTTTTTGGCACTACTGGGATTTGAACTCAGGGCCTGGGCAGATGCTGTACAACTTGAGTCATGCCCCCAGCCCTGCTGTTTTCATAATACTATTATGTCATCTGCTCTTTTCACTTTCATCCTTCTAAAAATGTACAGTCGAGTTTTCCAGAGACTACATAAGTGTTATAGAACATTGAAAGCAGAAGCAGGCATGAGAATCTAGTTGTTTTAGGCCATGCATTACATTTGAATTATCTCACTAAATTCTTTAAAAATATAATTATTTTTATGAGAATATTTGTTTTAACATATAATGGTTATTTATTTATGTTTTGGGATTTTTGAGATTAGGGTCTGGGGCTGTGTATTCCAGGCCTCAAATTTGTGCTCTTCCTGCCTCACTCAGCCTCCCAAGTGCTGGGATTACAGGCATTATGGCTTTAATTGCTATATATGTTTATATTGTGCTATTGGAGGTTGAACTGAGGGCCTTGCTTAAAATGCTGTTTTTAAATGAATAGAATGAATGTAAATTTTCTCTTTTAATTTCTAAAATGGTAAGTAATAATAGATAAAATTCACATACATGAAGTCTCTTTAGAATCCTCAATAATTTTTAGAGCATAAATTATAACCATTGTTCCAATTCGGTGGATTGAAAAGAGAATTGTAGCTCCCTAATCCCTTGAGAAAAGAAAGTACTTTTCACAAGCTCTCTTCCTTTCAAACTCTTTTCTGTCATATTCTCCTACTGCTATGTGTTCTTCATAGTTAGACAGCCTGAAGCCATCTTCTTTCTTCCTAGCCAGTCTATTAATTTGTTTCCTCAGTATAATTTTTATTCATTAACTATGAGCTTTTTCTTTCCTTCTTTCCATTATTCACTGCCTTCCTGACAATCTTATTTTCTTTTCCTCTCTGCCTATTCTTTTCTTTTGAAATATCATTTCCCTTCCTTGTTATTTTCCTAAACTCCAAGTTGTTTATTTGCCCTTTTGCAGTATCTCTTTCTCCTTCCATTTGCTTTTCTGACATTGTAACACTTCTGCTTCCCCGTATTTCTCTCTCTTTCTTGCTCTCTCCATTCCCAACTCCTATTTTAAATTTTATTTTGAAATGGGATCTTCCTATGCTGCCCAAGCTGTCCTCAAACTCCTGGTCTCTTAGCCTCCTGGCTGGACTATAAAACCAAGGCACTGCATCCCACTTACTTTCCCTTATTTCTGAATTTTCACTCAGTTCTGTTCTTCATCCATGTAACAGAATTATTAAGCACCAATAGTATGTAATATATTATATAATATGTATTATATTGTATAAATATTCTGTATCATCCCTTTTGCTTGGCACTGGGGACAAGGAACAAGATAAATATGATCTTTGCCCTCCTACAGTTTACAGACTATTCAGGATGGTCACTTTGTTTATTTTCTTTCTTTTTTTTTTTTTGTGGTTCTGGGGTTTGAACTCAGGGCCTGCATTCTACCACTTGAGTCACACCCCCCAGCTCTTTTGCTTTTTAGTTATTTTTCTAATAGGGTCTTGAGTTTTTGCCCAAGCTGGCCTGAACCACAATCCTACTTACATCTCCGATATACCTTGGGTAACAGGCGTGCGGCATCACACTCAACTTTATTGATTAAGATGGGCTGATGGAGTGGCTCAGTTGGTAGAGCACCTGCCTAGCAAGCATGAAGCTCTGAGTTCAAACCCCAGTGCTACCAAAAAAAAGAAAACAAAAAAAAAAACCTCAAGATGGGCGCCGGTGTTTCACACCTATAATCCTAGCCACTGAGGAGGCAGAGATCAGGAAGATCATGGTTCGAAGTCAGCCCCTGCAAAATAGTTTGCGAGACTTATCTCGAAAAACCCCATCACAAAAAAAGGTGGTGGTGGGGTGCTGGTAGAGTGGCTTAAGGTGTAGGCCCTGAGTTCAAACCCCAGTACTGGGAAAAAAAAAAAAAAGATGGAGTCTTGCTAACTTTTTGCTGGGACTAACCTCGAACCTCAATCTTTAATCCTCCTAATCTCTGCCTCCCGGGTAGGTGGAATTATGGGTTTAATCCATCAAGCCCGGCCCAGGATGGTCACTTTGGATAAAGCTAGGGACAATGTCTAAGGTAGTTTTTCCAGGGTCCTACTTTATTCCCACTGGGATAGCCTTGGGAAGGTTGTGAAAAATTGATCTTTGAAGTAACAGCAGCAGCTGCAGAAGCAAAAACCACTTACTGCATGCTTACCATGTGTCAGATATTTTACTAACATTTTCTTATAGCAATTCTGCAAGGTGTATTTAGCCCCACTCTACAGATGGAGAAACTAAGACTTGACTGTGGCCTGTAGCTAGAAAGATCAGCAGCAAGATTTCTTTTTCTGTTTAGTAGCATCAGCCAAGAAGGAAAGGTATTTTGCTTAGGAGGTTTTATGGTAAGAGCAGTTCCAGCATTGGTTGTAGAAATAGTGTTTAAAGCTACAAAGTTGTTATGTCAAAGCATAACAGTGGGGCTGGAGCAGCCACCTAGGAATCTTGTCTCAAAAACTTTGTGGCCCCTGAGGTTTGAACTGGAAGTTGTAATTTATTGGAAAGGAAAGCAGCCTTTTTGGGTGCCATCAGGTGTTTGTCTAATATCACTAAAGGACTGCCTAAGGCTTACCAGGGAATGGATGGAGTAAATGTGTCAGAGTACCTTCTAACCTATCTATCATTCCTTTTGGCAGAGTGACGTCAGAATCAAATTTGAGCACAATGGGGAGAGGCGGTAAGTTACCTTCTGATCAGCTCAGGAAACTGTACCCTGTCATGATCTCTATGGAGCCACTGGCTGGGGAATGGAGTTGATTGGGTGTAAAGGGAAAAGCCTAACCTTATTTTGGTTTACCAGTTGAATCTTGCTTCTGGTCTTTGAATTGGAAGCTGTTTCAACTGCTGATATTTTACTGTTCTGCTCTGTTCTGCTACTGTGTGGTCTGCTATTTTGCTAGGAGAGGAAGTGAGGGGTCCTGACTTCTAGACAGCTGGCATTGTGCCACTTGTGGGCATTAGAGGGAGATTAGGATGCTCCTGTGACATAATGCCATTTCTACCCCCTGTAGAATAGCCCTTGTTTTGTTTTATTTTGGGTGGTACTGGGGTTTGAACTCCAGGCCTTACAGCTGCTAGACTGGCAGGCACTCTACCACTTGAGCCACACAACCCTAGCCTATATAGCCATTGATTTTGTCCACATGAGGGGCAGGGTTGGTGAATTGAAAGTTTCTTCCTGATTTCTCTAGGTCATGGGAAGCTGTACCAAGCCCATCAGTTTTAAAAAATTTTAATTCCTTTGAGGACATAACAAGAGGGAGTTTTTCATTCTGTATGCAGAATCTTATCTTGTTAGGGAAATAAAAGTAATGTTACAAAACTTTTTTGGGGGCGGTACTGGGATTTGAACTCAGGGCCTCATACTTGCTAGGTAGGTGCTCTACCACTTGAGCCACTCCACTGGTCCTGCAAAATTCTTCTTTTTCTCTAGTGTCAATATTTTAGTTATTATTATTATGGGAAGCCAAGGTAGAAAAGTTTTCAGTGGAGAAAAATGTGACTCCATTTAATTTCTTTGGTTATGGAATATCTGGTTCCTTGAGTGTGTGTATGTGTCCCATGTGCAAATGTTGAGTATTTGTTTCCCACTCTTTGCCTGTCTCTCCCACTGCTATTCTCTCTTTTCACCTTTGCTTTGTATGTTTAGAGAGGTAAAAAAAATGTGCCCACAGAAAGTCTTCCTACTTTAAGATTCTCACTGCAGAACCTTAGTACCACCACACACTCTGTTCTCAGAGTTCTCTGCAGCTGGCAGCTTTCAACCCACTTTGAAACTAGATCCAGAGGAGATGGATGACTGTGGTTCTCTTTTAAAAATATCCACTCATGGGCCAGTCACAGTGGCTCATACCTGTCAGGAGGCAGAGAGTGTGGGAAGATTCCAGTACAAGGCCAGCCCAGGCAAAAAGTTACTGAGACCCTATCTCAATTAATAAGCCAGGTGTGATAGGCATGCCTGTGATCCTAGCTACACTGGAGGCTATAGGTAGGAGGATCATGGTATGAGTCTGGCCCTGATCAAAAACATGAGACCCTGTCTTTTTTAACTGAAGCAAAACAGAAATTTAATAAAAAGGGGGAGGTCTAGGGGGTGTAGATCAAGTGGTAGAATACCTGCCTACCTAGCGTGAGGCCCTGCTTTCAAACCCCGGTAGTGCCAAAAAAAAGAAAGAAAAATCCATTCACAAGCCTACAAAGTTGTCAGAGGCTGCCTGGTGGAAACACTGTGGAAAAAAGTGTGGTCTTTTTGCTACCATATAGGTTGGGGTTGTTCCAGGCCTGAAGGAAGTAAGTTCTGAGCTCTGTCCCTAGCTGCTCATCCTGCATCCTGCTAGAAGCAAGGAAGTTAAATTACCACCTCGTGGTTGCTGCTTTTTTTACTTTTTAACCTGACTGGGTTTTGGAAATATGGCCAAAATGGAGCAGTGAATTTCAGAAGTAGATATGGACTCAAAAGCTCAGTTGTGTTGGAGTTTAATTATGCAGTTATTTACAGTCCCCTGAATTCTGTTTCCCAAGGTGGTATGCAGTTACATTGAGCATACTTAAACTGAGAAAATGTATGTGTTTGGTTTCAGAGAAGCTGCCAGATTGAAACCACAGATATTTAAGGTGGTCAGGCAGGAATGGCCTTCTGAAGCCTTGAACAGCAGAATGTTGGTATCAAGTCTTTGAAAACTGCATGCTCTTTTTATGGAGCTGTTTTCAGGAACCATTACATTTCACTGTTTGTGTGCTATGTGTGGAATTGAGGACTTTAGCAAGTTGATACAGAGAAGCCAAGTTTAAGCTGCCCTGCATCTGCACTAATTTCATGTCTCAAGATTTTGTAGAGAATGTCATTGTGGGCTTTCTTTACTTCTTATAGTGAACATGGGTAGTATTTTTCTAAATGTAAGCCCTTCTAGAATTAGACTTAACAGAAAAGATGAAAGAAATGACATTTCCAGTTCATCCATGCCAGGTATGCATTCTGGTGGGTGGGCCTTTCCTTTGTTTTAAAAAGGTGGGTACTGGACCCCTGACCCTTCTCCCTCTTAGCCCCTGGGTGGCAGAAGAGGAGGACTATAGATTAGGACTGCTTTCCCTTTGAAAACCTTAATGACAGGGCACTTGATGGGGGTGGTGATCATGGATGTTAGAGCCCTCTTTGAAGCACTGCCTAAAAATGTCTGTTAGTCAGTGTGATGACAGAAGCATGGGCTTTACTGAATGTGGAAGTCATGGTTTTTTATCTTGATCAGGCTCAGGCAGTTTTTAGGAGTTTTTAATGGTTCGTCATCAGGCCAAGTACAGGAGAACTTAATCTATGAGCTTGATCCTTTTCTGTTAGTGTGATAGGGTCATCTGAGGGGACTTAACAGTATTTTATCCAAAAAGACTTGTCCTTTTGAACTGTTTCTAAGGCACTGATGAGAAGGGTATGATTTACTGGGAATTAATGGAAGTCTATTCTCTCCAAAGTTTCCAGAAAACATCTCTATTTAGATAACCCATCTACATAGCATCTAGATAGCACATAACAGTATCACCGGCTTGGGACAGCTGATTTGAGAGAAAAAAAATATAAGGATTACTATAGTGTGGATAGATTTCCTAATGGAGACAATATAGTTTTGATGATATAACTTCCAAAGGATAAATGATGGTTTATGGTGTTATTAAAGTTGTCCAGTAGAACTGTCTGTTATAATGGAAATGTTCTATATCTGTGCTATCCAATAGAATATTTCCTATGTACATATGAGGAATTAAATTCTAATTTAAAATTAATTATTATCGTTATTTTTGGTGGCACTGAGGTTTGAGCTTGGGGCCTCAAAGAGGCAGGTATTCTTACCGTTTGAGCTACTCTGTCAGCCCTTTTGCATGGTGGATTTTTTCGAGATAGGGTCCCCTGACCTATTTGCCTGGAACTGGCTTCAAACTGAGAGCCTCCTGATCTCTGCCTCCTGAGTAGCTAGGATTTCAGGGGTAAGACACCGGAATCCGGTTCATTTTCTTTTTTTTTTAATAGTATTGTGGTTTGAACTCAGGACTAGTCAGGCACTCTACCACTTGAGCCAGTCTACTAACCTTAATTGTAAATTTAGTTAGCCACATGTGGTTAGTAGCTGCCATATTGAGTAACGCAGTTCTTGATGAAGGCTTTTTATACTGCTCATTTATTTGCGCTAACCTAGGACTGAAAAACATTAAAGAAATTATCTGGTCAGATTTTATTAGAACCTGGTAGCTTAGATCCTTCTTTCCTGTGACTTATTGCTTCTTCCTCTGGTTCTCAAAAATGAACAATGGGCTGCAGAGTGGCTCAAGTGGTAGAGTGACTACCTAGCAAGTGTGAGGCCCTGAGTTCAAACCCCAGTACCACCAAAAAATAAAAAATAAATAAATTGAGTTTTCATTAAAAAAAAAAAAGAACAATGGAAAAGAGTCTTCAAGTCTTGGAGTTGAGTCACTTAAGAATTGAGACTTCTCTTTTAGGGCTGCTGCTTTGATTGTCAAGCTTTCTAGTTTATTTCCTAACAAGAGTATTTGGGAAAAAAAAAAAAAAAGAGTCCTTGGAACATACTTTTTAAGTCTGGTAGCCTGTTGTGATACTGCCATTGGCAGAAAGGTCCAAGCTAAAGTGATAGAACAAATGGTTGTGATTGAGCAGTGCTTGTGAGAGCTATTGTCAAACCTGAGAGATGCCCAGATGGAGGGTGACAAGGTAAAGGTAGGTAAGAGAAGAAAAAGAAATAATAGGCAAACTGAATAAAAGAAAAAAAAAGAGAATCCTATGTTAGAAGAAAAGGAAAATATACTCAGCCCATTATTTTCTAAAACCTAAATTTTAAATATAGAACTAACCAACCTTCCTGTTCCTTTTCAGAATTATAGCATTCAGCCGGCCTGTGAGATACGAAGATGTGGAGCACAAGGTGACAACAGTATTTGGGCAACCTCTTGATCTACATTACATGAACAATGAGGTGAGAAAGATGGATGGTGTAGAGACAAGAGGGACAGCTGCTTACAAGTTTTCTCTCTGATTAACTGAGCATTTTTTAGTTTATTCCTCTAATATCATCTGCAGATTTTAGTTTTCTGGAGCCCCTTTTCTTAATTTCAACAACTCTGAGATTTCTATTTATTTCTATCTGAGAGATTACACAGCTATTTTTGTTCTCATTACTCATTCAGTGCAGGTAGATCTTATATTTCATGGTAGAATAAGATATGGTACCAGGGTCAGGGGTTATTTTGTTTCCTTTACAAAATTTTTTAGGAGTATCTTCTTCCAGTACAGCCTTAATGAGAAGTAGAGGAGAGGAGGGGGTGGGGATAAAGGAGAATGATGGAGGAGGTGAATTCAAGTATGATATAGTTGATATATTTTAAGAAATTTTGTAAATGCCACAATGTACCTCCAGTACAACAATTTGAAAAAAATGCAGAGGATTCAGTAGGGACAGGGGAGGTAAGGGAAAAACTGGTAGGTAGACCCTCTATTACTGTCATAAATGCTAGATTATTCTCCCAGAGTTTAGCTTCTGACTGTAAGCTTATTTGTTTCAAAAGTTATCATGTATTCCATTGATTACTTTAATGACTCCCTACCCTACCCCAGCAGTCCTTATTTATTCTTGCTTTGATCTTTACCCAGGAAGGAGTTATTTTGAATGTCAGTTACTCATCTACTTTCCCAGCTCAAGAACGCAATAACGGCTACAACTGACTCGGGCTGATGGTTTGCATTAATCTGAAAGGCAATATATTTATGTGTAGTACGAGCATGTACCTCAAGCCAGGCATGATGGTACACATCTATAATCCCAGCTATTGGGGAAGAAGAAGTAGGTAGCCAGCCTGGGCAAAAAATTAGCTACACTCTATTTCAAAAACAAGCCTAGTGTGGTGGCACATAACCTGCAATCCCAACTGCTCCTGCCTCAACCTCCTGAGTGTTGGGATTACATGTATGAACCACCATGCCTGCTTTTAGAAGCTGAGATTTTTTTTTTTTTTTGTCTAAACACTCTGTGGTCCCCTTCCTACATAATAAACAACCAAAATTGGATATGCTTTTAAATACCTCACTAAAATAAGATCATGTGAAGTTATATTTTGTTTTTTTAAGACAGGGTCTTAATATGTAGCACAGGCTGGCTTTAGACTCAAGATCCTCCTGCCACATCAGCCTCTTCAGTACTGGGATTATATACATCCAACACACACCCAAGAACTAATACAGTTTAGATATAGGATATGAGAACTCCCCAAATCCAGAGAACTTTAAAAAATTATATGTAGTACAATTCAGGCTTTAGTGATTGCATATGAAGCTAAGGCCACAGTCAGCTAATTTATCAGCACTAAGAGATGTTCTGTAGTTACTAAAGACTTATCTGGGTAAATTAGTATTTTTTCTTTTTTCGTGTATTATATCTTTTTTTTTTAGTATTCTTTTTTCTTTCAGTTAATATTTCCATTAAGGCTTCAGATGTGGCTCAACCTGCCTAGCAAGCATTGAAACCCTGAGTTCAAACCCCAGTACTGCCAAAGAAAAGAAAAAAAAAAAGAATTCCAAGTTTCTGGACTGGGAGTGTGGCTCAAGTGGTTGAGCTCCTGCCAGGCAAGCTCAAGATCCTGAGTTCAAACCCCAGTACAACAAGAAAAAATTTTGAATTTTTTTTTCAAATTAAATGTGTTTCAAACTCTTTTGCCAGAAAAGCGACAGCTCAGAATGTTAAACATTCCCTTATTTGTTTGCTTAGATATCGGTTTTAAAGCTAAATATAAATATGTACATTTATTGTTTTTCCTTATTGGTATTGGGATTTGAACTCATGGTCTCACACTTTGCAGATAGGCACTTCACCATTTGAGCCATATCCCAAGCCAGCAGTTACATTTTTGTAAGAGCCCATAATATCCTTTCTTTTTTTTTGGCCCTCTGGGGTTTGAAGTCAGGGCCTTGTACTTGCTAGTCAGGTACTTTACCACTTGAGCCACGCTCTCAGATCTTCCAAATTTATTTTTAGTTTTTGTTTATTTTTGCAAACCGAAGTATTGAGATAGATTTGTATTTTGTATGATTTCCTTTTTCTTTATCCTGTGTCACAGCTCTCCATCCTGCTGAAAAACCAAGATGATCTTGATAAAGCAGTTGACATTTTGGATAGAAGCTCAAGCATGAAAAGTCTTAGGATATTGCTGCTGTCTCAAGACAGAAACCATGTAAGTAGCCCTGTCGTGACTCAGCAATTGCAGACAAAGCTTGCATTCCTTTATTCTTGCCTTGCTTCCTTGAAAGAATTTTGTGCTCCCCAGTTGGCCCTGCCAAAGTGAAAGCATAAGCTCAGTCCAGCCTGCTGTGTCAGTGGCCAGTGAACCTTCTGCATTTGATTTCACTTAGAGCCAGATTGTCAGTGTCAAAGTTATTTGGTTAATAGTGTGGGAGGAAGGAAGGAAGGAAAACACTTTATGATAACAGAGAAAATTCTTTTTTTCTGTATTTATGTTTTTTCAATTAGATTTTGACCCCACCAAAAGAGATTTGACTAGTGTAGGAGTCCTGATTAGTTAGCTAAGGCTCTCAGGGATCTGAGACTCATGCTTTGTTAACGCAACTCCCACAACTTGCTTTTCCCTTGGGACACATGTAGGAAACAAACTTTTTCTTCTTTAGATATAGTTTAGTGGGAAAAAATGGACCATGGGTTAGAGGGCTTCTTGTAATTTACTAGCTGCTTTACCAAAATGGCAAGCAGTCTATGTGGGAATTATCCCTTACGTAGTTTCCTCTATTTTTTTTTTTTTCTTTCTAATTTGGTGGTACTGGGGTTTGAACTCACAGCCTCACACTTGTTAGGCTTGTTAGGCAGGTGCTCTACCACTTGAGCCACTGTGCCAGTCCTTGTTTCCTTTTCTGAATGGTCCTTGGGGCCTACTTTTCATGAGAACACTTGCAATCTTAATCTGTTCTTTAATCACGAACTCTTTACTAGTTTTCTTCAGATGCATGTTCCTGATGGTTTCTTTAGCATTCTTTCCTTTCTTTATGCCTGAGGACTGCTTACTATGGAGAACTGACATAGCAGCATGAGAACTATGGATGTAGCATACTGGAATAGAGTTTAGATGAACTATTTCTCATATTGCCCCTTTACTTTCTAAAGAGACTGAAGGGGTTGGGCTGAACTGTCGATTGAGGGAGGTACTGGAGGATGCAGTTAGGAAACCATATGACAAGATATCTTTTAATATTACAGAAGTATAATATTATGAAGAGGGGTCTTCTTGATCCTAAATATATCTTTTTCTGGATATGTTTGGGAAGTATTCTAAAGTGAAATGTATACCTTATCATTTCATGTCTCTGCTCAAGTTACTCACTGCTCCTTATCATCCTTCCTTACTGCCTATCATGTAAAATCTAGGTTTAGCCTGAGGGAGGCTAGGGGTGTAACTCAGTGGTAGAGTGCTAGCCTAGCATAAAACCCTGTCTTTGATCCCTAGCACCTAAATAAATAAATAAAATGAAATAAAAATAGATAAATAAATCTAACCTAGCATCCCGGATTCATTACCAGCTGTCCCTGCTTCTAGCTCCTGGTCTTATCTTCCTACATTCTTCAGCATATTTCCCAATTCTGCAGCCCTGTAGCCCTTCCTTCTTCCTCTTCGCCAGTCCATGGCTATTTTTTTTTTTTTATTAAGGATCTGGTTTGATTTATGTACTACAATTTGATCAGCTTTTTTCCTAAGGCCATTTTTTTAAATTCCTTATTCCTTTAATCATTGTATGTAGTTTGTACACTAGTGTATAGATTACTTAGTGATTGCCTTCTACTTGTTGCATGTTTGTAAATTGTACCCCAGAAGATTATAAGCTTCCCAAGAACAGGAGCTAGGTCATTGTTTTGGGACCACTTATTCCACCCATTCAGTAAACAAAACAGAGAGAGTACTTCTTGAATTGTCATTTTTAGCAAACACCTTCCTTACAGAAGCAGCTAGAATTTGAGTTTGATTGAGTGATATTTTGACTGAGAGGTCAAAATATTCCTACATTACTCTGATGAAATTCCCTGATATGAAGTTGTAGACAACTGGTTCTTTATATCAGCATTCCCATCACAAAGGAGATATATATGGTTGCAAATACTACTGTAACATCCAGAACTCTTTGAAGGATGACCACCTGATCTCTGATACTCATGGCAGTGCGTAGGACAAATGCCACATCAATGCCTCTCTGCGGATCTTTTTAAAAAATTATTATTAAGTCAATATAAGTTTTTATAAAGTTTTATTTTTTTAAAGAACTATTTTACATAATCCTATCACTATAACACATTATCGATTTTTTATTGCATATACCTTTACAGTCTTTGGTCATATGTATACATATTTTATGTAAATTTTTTCATGGTATACATGTAAGTTTCTAATTTTTTTTTCACTTAGGATTGTCATGAATATTTTTCTTTGTTAACACTTAATCTTTATAAATTACAGTTTATAAGGATGCATAATTCCCTTGAATGGATATATCATAATTATGTAAATAGCCATTTTTTGCTACTATTGGGAAACTTAAACTGCTACTATTTATAGAGATTTACATTTAAGAGTAACAGTGGGCTGTGGGTGTACACCTGTAATCTCAGTACTTGGGAGGGTGAGGCAGGAGGATTGAGGTTTTGAGGCCAGCCCGTACTATAGTGTGAGTTCTAGGCCAGCCTGGGCTACATAGTAAGACACTCTGAAAAAACGAAGACTGACTAACAGTGGTAATGATGGTGGTAAAAATCTTTCTTGAAGAACTTCATCAGTTACATTTTGGACTTTTTCTTTTTTTTTTGTGGTGCTGAGTTTTGAACTCAGGGCCTCTTGCTTGCTAGGCAGGTGCTGTACGACTTCAGCCATGCTCCCAATCCCAGACTTCTTAATAAACAGAAAAATCATGGACAAAATTGCTAGGTGCTCAGGAATCCTCCAGAGCAGTGCATTTCTATCTGTGATGAAGTGTCAGTTTGGTTCCTTTAGTTTCCAGTTTGTCACAGACCAGTTCTTTTTTTAAAATATAAAAACTGAAAAGTGATTAGAAAAAAAAAAATAAACTAGCTGGGCACTCATGGCTTACGCCTGTAATCCTAGTACTCAGGAGGCCAAGATCAGGAGGATCATGGTTCAAACCCAGCCCGGGCAAATAGTTCACGGAACTCTATTTCAAAAAAAATACCTATCACAAAAAGTACTGCAAAAAAAAAAAAAAAAGAAAGAAAGAAATTAGAAGGACTAAGGGTATACATGAGTGGTAGATAGAGTACTTGTCCATCATGTTCAAGGCCCTGGATTCAACCCTAAAAAGTGCTTTAAAAACAGAGAGAGAGTCTTATAAAATATAAGTCCATAATTTTTATTGTTAGATTTCAAAGATTTAAAGTTACTCTACCAAGTTGCTTTGAAGTTTTCCAAGGGTTACTCTCTATCTCTGTTCTTACCTGGTAGAGGACTAGTGTATCACAGTTCATGGACTGGTACCAACCCTGAGATCACACTTGAAGTACACTGCTCCAGGATACTATATCATCTGGTCTTCAGCTTCTACTACTGATAATTGTTTTTTCTTCACTTTGAATTTGCTCCATTTTTAGCATTTGCCTCATTTAGCTTTTGTTATTTCTGTGTGTGTGTGGCACTGGGGTTTGAACTCAAGGTCTCGCACTTACTAGGCAGGCGCTCTACCACTTGAGCCACTCTGTCAGCCCTTTACTTCATTTCTTATTTGTGTTTTGAAATGTGTTATTTCTTTTTCTCTTTGGATCCCTTCTGTGATTCCTTCTACTCTTTCTTCTGTCTTCACCAAGTATATAATCCCTCCCACCTTAACCTCGCCAAGATCATGTTTTAGGTTTCAGTATTGTTACCTGAAAACTCCTGGGTTTGCTAATCACAGAAATGCCTCTGTGGAAGAGCCTCTCTAGCTTGATTCCTACTGTCCTTTTAAGATACTTAATCATCTCTTTCAGTAGTTCTTGCTGCCTGAGGCCTTTGCCTTGAACCATCAACTTTTTTTTTTTCCCAGTAGTGGGGCTTGAACTTACACTTGCTAGGCAGGCACTGTACCACTTGAGCCACTCAGTCAGCCCAAACTATCAACTCTAGCTTATTCCTAGTAAAGACTTTCTCTCTAAACATGTGCGCATCTAGCTTTTTTTTTTGCTTTGTCAGTACTGGAGTACTGGAGTTTGAACTCAGAGCCTCATGCTTCTTAGGCAAGCACTCTACCACTTGAACCATGCCCCTAGATCTTAACTCTTAAATTTATCCTTCTGCTCTTAACCTTATAACTTTTTAGTCCCATCTCTTCCACTATCATAATCTAGTAATCTCAAACTTACTTGTCACTAAACACGCAGCTACTTTGTTAACTCAGATTTTTTGACAAAAGTGAACTTCTAATGTCACCGAACTATTACCCACTTCTCAAGTTTCCTACTGATGATTTTGTCAACTTAAAGTATAACCTAAAAGGTAATTATTTTCAGTCCTCTTAAAATAATGGGACAAGTATAGGAAGATAAAACAAAACTGGTTGGGCAGAGTACAGTAGCTTCTGTCTGGTCCTTATTTAAATATAGCAGCTTATGTATAAAAGGTGCTTTCATTTCATTTGTGTCACCTTTACAACTCTTAGAGGTCAAGGGCAGACATCTGTTTTTTCCAGTATACACCTTGGGAAATTGAAACTTAAAGTAACTTCCCCAGGTGAGGCGTTAAATGTAGTGAGAGAGCTAGTCTAGAATCCAGATGTTCTGATTTCTAGTTCTCTGTCTATCAGTTACCATCTAGGGAAGGAATCTTGAAATTACTGTAATCCTTGGAAATCCTCACCCAGGTCCCTACACAGTTGGTTATCATTAGAAGCAGAGCAGAAAGTATGTTGTCCGTGAGAAAAACTTAGGAGTTTTGTCATTCTGTTTCCTTCAGCTCAGCTCAGAAGATAACTGAGCTAGGAGAGGTCATGGAGAAGACAAAAATTTCAGGGGGTTGGTGTCACAATTGTATGTGAGTATTGTAAAAAGCTTAAAGGTCTTTAGTCATGAAAGATAGTCTAAACATACATATAATCATAGTCTTCAAAGCATCAAAGAGTATAGATAATGAAAACACCTGTTATTCACCTATTCTCAATTTGGGTGAACCCCTTGACTTTTGGGGGTTATCTTAGAACAAAGAGGAAATAAGAATTTGTATAATAGCAAACATGGCTCTATTATTCCGAAGATATATAGCTTCAGAACAGACTTTTAACGAGTTAAAGTTGTAAATTTAATTAACCTTGGACGCTTCCACAAATGTCGTAACTATAGCAGTCTTCTGTGCAATGCAAATATCTCTTGGTACCACCATTAAAGCAGAGACCTGAACAGGGTGCTTATTGGTAAGCTCCTATGTGCTGTTTCTTACCTTACATCCTCATGTACCAAACTAAAGCAACTCCTCTCCCTCTTTTCCCTGTGGATAATTGAATTTACTTATTCTTTTTGTATCCTATCAGCAAATCTTTCATTAAGATCATTTGTGGGTTGACTTTTGTAAATTATTTTTCTGCTGATCACCTGTCTTCCTGTCACTGCAAATTCTTATGCACATGGTTCTCTGGTAATTTTTCATATTGTTGTGTCAACCACAGAGTCCTTCAGTAAGATATTCAGAATGGTCAAATGGTCCCTACTGTGTTTAGAATGTACTGCTCAGCACTGGTGCCTCACACCTGTAATCCTAGCTACTCAAGAGGCAGAGATCAAGGGGATTGAAGTTCGAAGCCAGCCTGGGCAAATAGTTCCTGAAGACCCAATCTTGAAAAAAATCCATCACAAAAAAGGGCTGGTGGAGTGGCTTGAGGCCCTGAGTTCAAACCCTAGCAACACATAAATAAATAAATAAATAAATAAATAAATAAATGTAGAATAAATAAATGCATGCTTCATGGGTGTGAGCTTTTTTCACTCTACAATTAGTCCACTTATTTTTTTGGTGGTGCTGATTTTTGAACTCATGGCTTCATGGTTGCTAGGCAGGTGCTCTACTACTTGAGCCATGCCCGTCTTCCCTTAATTTTGGGTGTATTCCAGCTTTTCCCTTTTTTTCTGAGCCTTGTTCAAGATTCTATGAATCTTTCCAGCAACCTCATTTTTGTTTTCTATGCCATTCTCCTTTGTCCCCTGCAATCAGTTTTCAAAACTTGGCTGAATATTATAATCCCTTGAGGAGATTAAAAAATTGTTAGTGCTTGGGCCCTATCCTCAGAGATCCTAGTGTAATTGGTCTGAATGTCAAAAGCCCCATAGGCAGTTCTAATGGACAGCTAGGTTGGAGAACCATTACTTGAAATTGAAACATGTTTCACTTCCAAAGAGCTCATTATTCCCAGTGTGGCCTATGGTCCAGCAGCATCAGTGTTACCCAGGAACTTATTAGAAATACAGACAGTCCAGCACTCAGGAAGCTGAGGCAGGAGGATCTCAAGTTCGAGGATAGTCTGGTAAACATAGCAAGACCCTGTGTCCAAAAAAAAAAAAAAACTGAGTACCAGTGGCTCATGCCTATAATCCAAACTACTTGGGAGGCTGAGATCAGGAAGATTATGGTTCAAGGTCAGCCTGGGCAGTTTGCGAGACTTCATCTCCAAAATGGAGCAAAATGGACTGGAGGTGTGGCTCAGGTATTGAGAGTCTGTTTTGTAAGCATAATGCCCTTGAGTTCAAACCCCAGTCCCACAAAAAAAAAAAACAGAAAAACCCCAGAAACAACAATAAAAAGAAATGCAGACTTTGAGTCCCCCTCCAGGCCTACAATCAGAATCTGCACTTTAATATGGTTCCAAAGGATTCCTATGTATGTACACCAAAATGTGAGAAGTCCTCCTCTGAAACCTTTACCTGCTTTTCAACATTGCTACACTTTCAGCCTTCCCATTTACAAACCTAAGCTTATGCTGGTTGTTAAACATACTTTCCTGTCTCAGCTTTTAGATTTTAAAACTGAGGGTTTGGGGTATATGTTCTTTGGTACATTTCAAATTCATGCTGCTAGCTGGGTGTGATGGTACAAGCCTGTAATCCCAACACTAGGAAGGCCAAGATAGAAGGATCATGAGTTAGAGGCAGCCTGGGCTACAGAGTGATTTTGAATCCAGCCTAGGTCTCAAAAAACAAAGCAAAACAAAAATAATAGCAAAACAAAACAAAAACAAATTTGTACTGCCAGGATGCAATGAATTCCCGCAGTGTGGAAGGCCCTACATCCAAAAGTGACCTTGGATACCTATCATGCAGCTCTTTCTCTAACTTCAGAACTATGGTCTTCCTTGCTGTTCACAAGCCTGCCTCCTCAGTGTGTTACTTTGGCTGTTTTTTCCTTTCTGACTCTTGGCAGAGAACTATTACACATCGAAGGCTTTAGCAAGAACATTCACTTCCTCTTGGTTCTGACTTCCTGTTAGAGCAAGACAGTTTGTCAAGACAGTCCTGCATGTGATAAAGTCTAGTGTAGGGAAACTAGAGAAGGCTGCTTGGCAGCTGAACTTGCCCCTGGGAGCCGGAAGCCTTTTCCTGGAGGACAGGATATAGAGATTGTTTACATGAGACTTTTTTTTTTTTTCCTTATGAGAGGTAGAGGACATAGAGAAGCAGTAGAAATTTGACCCAAATTTTTGATAAATCCTGAACTCCCATTCACACTCTCAGTAATTCTTTGCTTCTTCCTGGCATCATTTGCTTACCTCCAGGGTTCAGTTTTAAGCTTTTTTAGTGCATAGGCCTCCCTTTGTATCCCTTTGTTGCTTTGACTTCTCACCTTCTGGCTTGACTGGGCTGGTGCAAAGTGGTGGTGAGTACAAAAGCCTACTGACCCTATTCTGAGGTCCTTGACTTCTGGCAGTTTAGTGCCTGTGATAGCTTTTCCCAGTTTTGTATGATCCTGAGATGATTTACATGTAAACCCTGGCAGTTTGAAGTAAATTGAGATCTTCTTACAGTAATTTTTAGGGAGTGATTATGGTTTGGGAAGAAGCAACATTTGGAGCTCTTTTTTTTTTTTTTTGAGGGGGGATTGGGCCTGGGGTTTGAACTTAGGGTTTCACACTTGCAAAGCAGACAGTCTATGGCTTGAGCCACACCTCCAGTCCATTTTGCTGTGGTTATTTTGGAAATTGGGTCTTGTGAAATATTTGCCCAGGCTGACCTCAAACCTTAATCCTCCCAATCTCAGCCTCCCAAGTAGCTAGGATTAAAGGCCTGAGCCACTGGAGCCAGCTGGAGCTACTTTTAAAAATATATATTTAGCCAGGCATAGTGGTTCGTGCCTGCAGTTCAGCACTCAGGAAGCTGAAGCAGGAGGATCAAAAGTTTGAGACCTGCCTGGGCTACATAGAGAAACCTGACTTTGAAAAAATGTTTTTAAAAGACATATTTAGCAACCAGAATTTTGCAGGGAAGTTGCCATCATTCTCTGTTCTGTCCCTGTCACAGCAGGTGATCTTGCTGCTGAAATAATTTCCTGCTATTCTTTCTAAGCTCTCTGGAGAATTTTAGGAGAGGGTATTTACAGCTCTCTCTTCTGTTTGGCAGATCATTACAGAAATGCCTGTTACTCCTCCATGTCTGGGTCATCATGTCCCATTAAACTAGGACATTAGGTTTCAGTGCTCATGTATCACTGAAGCTATAAAACTACATCAAGCAGTGGGTGCCAGTGGCTCATGCCTGTAATCCTAGCTACTCAGGAGGTAGCGATCAGGAGGATTGTGGTTCGAAGCCAGCCTGGGCAAGTAGTTCGCAAGACCCTATCTCTAAAAACCCTTCACAAAAAAAGGTACTGGTAGAGTGGCTCAAGGTCTTCGAAGGCCCTGAGTTCAAACCTGAGTACTGCCAAAACAAAACAAAAAAACTACATCAAGCAAATAGTGATTTGCCAAGACAGATTGGGGTGTGAGATTTGGAGGGAAGCCAGGCAGTTCATGTGTTAAAAGTATGAAGGTGGCTAAGAGTGTGGTGAGTTCTAAGAAAAGGCCAGGGGAGCCTTTTTAGACCTGCCCACATAACATAAAGATCTAGTTTAGCCTTTTGCTCTTCTCTTACAGACCAGTTCCTCTCCCCACTCTGGGGTGTCCAGACAGATGCGGATCAAGACTTCCCAGTCTGCAGGGGATATAAATACCATATACCAACCCCCTGAGCCCAGAAGCAGGCACCTCTCTGTCAGTGAGTATTTTACCCATTTCTTCTCCTCCCCCCATCTATTGTATCAGCTCACTTTTTAGACTTTCAACAGTTACTTGTTAAATAATCATCAAATGAGTATTGACTACTAATCTGTGCAGAGTAATGCTCTATGCCTTATTGAGAGGAAGGGTAGAGGAATGACTGGGATAGTATCCTGAGTCTTAAGGACCTTACAATATAGTGACATAATGGCATGATTAAATTTCTTTTAAACATCCCAAAGAAAGCAGTCTCCTCAGACATCTGTTTGAAGACTTCCAGTTGGACTCTACACTTATTTTAAACCATTCTTTCCCCAAAGGACTGGTAAAGCTAGGGGTCAGGTCTAAGGCTGAGTTTTGACCTCGGACTTCTTGCTTATGATTTCTGATCCTTGTGTTTTGAGGAAGATGCTAGCCAGTGAAACTCCTGAAAAGTCAAACTAAGTTGTCTGGAAGAATAGAATGTTGACATAGTATGTACCATTAGCTAACTTTGCTAGTAGAAAGGCTATATAAAAAGCAATGTAGCAGTTGCTAGGCCTCCCAAGGAAAGAAGTCTAATCGGTGCATTATACCAGATAACACAGTGTTCCTTTGGAGTCTGAAGAGATAAGGTAGGTAGTGAGCTTGTAATATAGGAAGGGAAGCTTACCATGTCATCTTGTTATTTCTTCATCAAAGTGCATTTTTATTTATTATCAAAGTATCTACTAGAAGCCAAAGTGACAGGGCCATGTTGCTGCAGGCCTTGTATAACTGTGGAACAAAGGACATTTACTTGTTATGATGTGATCAGTGTACAATTACAAGCTGTGACAGAAAGGTATGTGCTTCTGTGAGTGTATTAACTAAGGAATAGAACCTGATCTTGGGGCCAGGAGAGCTTTACACTACCATCTGAAGTACAAAAAGGAGCTGGACAAAGGGAATGCAGAGAAGAGGGTTACTGGCAGAGGATGTTACCTATGCAGAGGCCTAAGGGTAGGAGGGACTGTGTATTGTTTTAAAAACAGAAAGCAGTCCTGATGGCTGGAGATCTAGAACAAGGGAAAAGAGGGCAGGACTTGGCTAGAGAAGTGGCAGAATCTTACAGACCATGATAAAGATTTTATTTTGATCCTTATATTGAAAGCTGTGAAGCCAAGTATGGTGGTACATGCCTATGCCTATGATCCCAGCTACTCAGAAGACAGAGATAGGAGGATCATGGTTTGAGACCAGCATGGGCAAAAGTTAGGGAGACCCTATTTGAAAAACAAACTGAAAATAAAAAAGCACTGGGGCATCTCTCAAGTGGTAGAGGCATGAATTCTAGGGGGGGAAAAGGCCTTGAAAAGCCACTTAGAATTTTTAGATGAGGAGGAAGAGGTGATGTTACATGTTCAAATTTGCATTTTGAAAGATTGCTCTTGTGAAGTATGGAGAACAGATTGGAGGGGGCAAGGCTGGATCCAGGGAACTGTATTAGGCTAGTACAGTAGTCCAGGTAGAAGAACAAAGGCTTGGATTAGGCTGATGACGATAATGGAGAGAAGTAGGAACAGGTGGATTTGAGACATGTAGAGCTAAAACTGATAGAACATGGCATTTCAGTGGTTTTCAAAATGTGATCTGGGGACCTAGGTGAGTCCTTGAGATTCTTTCAGGAGATCCAGGAGGTCAAAATTATTTTCATAGTCACACTAAGACCCAACACTAATTTCCTCACAAGTGCATGTGGAATTTTCCAGAGATATGTGCTCAAGCTGATATCATCCCTCTGATGGTTAATGGAATGTGTGCTGGTGTATTATTTATTGTATTTTAAAATGTTGGAGCTTTAATTTCTAATATATTAAATACTAATTGATATTATTGGGGCTCAGAAAATAATACTCTAGAGTATATTTTTTGGCATGCTAAGTACTTTCCACTAAAGGACATTGGGAAGGCCTCAGAAGCAAAGTCTTTTCTGACTTTCTTCTTCTTGCTCTCCTCTCTTTGTCAAGGCAGGCCATAGAAACTAAAATTCTCTTTTCCCTAAGACCACTCATGGAAAGTAGAACACCTTTCCCTTAAAACCAGCTGTAAAACCTGGATATTATTCTCTCTTTTCCCCTCATTTCCGTGTGAGAGCTAGCCATAAAGAAATTCTCTGATCTACCTTGTCTGATAGTTGAACATAAGACCCTCATTCCAGAATGGGTACTGCCCTATATCTAAAAGGAAATGATGGCACACAGAGGCCAAGAAGACTCTAAACAGATAGGCCTTGCTGGGTTTTCTCCCTCAATCTGTTACCATTAGGTATTTATATATATATATGTATATACATATGTAATCACAGCTCTATACTATATCTAATGTAAAAATGGATAGGTGTTTTGTTTTGTTTTGTTTTGTTTTGTAGTACTGGGGTTTGAACTCCAGGCTTTGAACTTGCTAGGCAGGCACTCTACCACTTGAGCCATGCCCCTAGCCCTCACTGGGCCTTCGATCTTCATTATGAAGGCTCTTATGCTTTTTCCTTGTTATCCAGCCTTATGTTACAGGATTGTCTCCTGCATCGCTCATGAAGGGTAAGAGAAGGTGTTAATCTTTCCTGCCTCTTCATTTTAACTTACATACGTAAAAACTCTTAAGTGTCCTAAATTTTAAAATGTTAAAGAGGTTCTAAAAACAAAAGGTTTATTTTTTTTATTATATTGTTGTATTGGGGGTGCATTGTGACATTTACAAAAGTTCTTACAACATATCATAGTTGAATTCACCCCCTCTATCATTCTCGTTTATCCCCACCTCCAAAAGGCTTATTAAGAAGTACTGTAAGCTGGGCACCGGTGGCTCATGCCTGTAATCCTAGCTACTTGGAAGGCAGAGATAGGAGGATCACGGTTCAAAGCCAGCCCAGGTAAATAGTTAAAGGAGACCCTATCTTGAAAATATCCAACACAAAAAAAGGGCTGGCAGAGTGGCTCAAGTGGTAGAGCACCTTCCTAGCAAGTGCAAGGCCCTAAGTTCAAACCCCAGTACTGAAAAAAAAAAAAGGTATTACAGTATTGAATTGAATTTATAGGTGGTAAGGGAGAGAGAGGTAAATTGCGGGCTTATGGAGCTGAGTAAATGTCACTGCTTTTCAATAAGGCAGGATTGACTTAATGTTTTAGTCTTGTTTATGTTGAAGTGCCTTTGAGACAGCGAAGCAGAAATATCAAATGGGCAATTAGATTATAATAGGTCTTTAGAAAGTCAGGGCTAGGAAAAAAAAAAAATGGAAATCATCAAGTTAAAACCATGGGCCCAGAGGAGACTGCCTAAGCAGATACTGAAGAATGAGAAGAGACAAAGGACTAGGATACAGCCTTACAAACCCAACACCTAGTAGACAGAAGAGGAAAGGATGAGCCTGCAAAGGGCATAGGAAAGGAGTGATCAGAGGAGGAGGAAGGAAACTAGGAATATGGGGGCAGGAGGTTAAATGGAACTAGTCAGGTTGGAAAAGAACAGAAGGGTAAGAGACACAAACTTGTCATTTTCATCCACAAATGTCTGAGTGCTTGCTATGAGCTGGTACAGTATAAGGCGTTCTGAAAGTAAAGGGAAACAGGAAGAGAGAGAGAGAGGAGTCAAGTTAAAGCATGAAGGACAAGGAAAAAATCTTAGAAGTAGAAATGGATGCTGGACACCAGTGGCTCACACCTATAATCCTAGCTACTTAGGAGGTAGAGATCAGGAGGATCATGGTTCACAAAAAAGAGCTGCTGGAGTGGCTCAAGGAGCAGGCCCTTAGGTTCAAGCCCTAGTACCGCAAAAAAAAGAAGATTCTGCCCTTTATTAACATTAACATACCCATGATTCAGTGAGAAACTACAGCATGCAGGTTATTCAGCCCTCACTGCAGCATTTACAAAAATGGAAAAGTGCATGGTAGCCCAGGTCAATTTCTGACCTCTCTGAAACTTTTCATGTATTGAATTGAAAATCTGCCTTCCTTAACTTTACCAATTGATTTTAGTGCTGCTCGTGACCAACTCAGTATTGCAGATAAAATCTTTCATGACAGTTTTTCTACTATTTGAAATAGCTATTACGTTTGCCCTTTGTTTTTCCCATCATAATATACATACCTTGAATCCCATTTTTTAAAGCCAGTTGGTCTGTTAAATTAGTTCATGATAAACAAATAAACAAAAAAACCTTCCTGGATAATGAATTAACCCAAAAGAGTTAATCTCCCTGTGGTGAGATCAGGCAGGTGATAGAATTTCCCTACATGAAGATGTCCTTCCTCCTATGTTTGCTTTTGGAAATTCTACCCCCTTTGAGGCTGAGCTCAAGCACTATTCTTCCATAATACCTTGGGTGGTGCCCTTCAGTCATGTAGCCAAGTCTGAATTTACGTGTTTAGAGGGAAGCACATTCTTAATCCTGTTTTTCCTAGTGTATATTGTTAAGTGCTTTTACCTCTCTTTTTACACCATCTTTCTCCTTGTCTTGCCATTTCTTCCTCAGGCAAGCCACACTGCAACCTCTAAAATGTGTGGAGACAATCAGTCCTTTCAAGGCCTCTGGTAGAAAGAGGTGGACTCATGGCTTAAGGGAGTGTCAGAAGTTCGGTCAGGATATGTTTAGGCTAGAGATCTGCGCAGGAAGTGAAGGAGGGATAAAGAGAGCTGAAAAAGAGAGAGCTAAGGCGAAGAGACTATAGCTGAGCTGACTTCCGTAAGGGTGGATCTGGGAGTCCAGGAAGAGGACTGTCAGGACCTCTTTGGCAAGTAAACGAGGCTGAGAGGAGGAAAAATTCATGCAAAGGGAAAAAATGGAGTGTTGAAAGGAGGAGATAACTTATTATAGCAACAAAACTGGTAGTAGAGAACCAGAGTGCTGTGCATATTATAATCTTTCAGTCCTTGTGAGGCAGGTTAGAATTAGGGAACGTTTGGGACTCTTAGAAAATACTACTTAATACTGTATTTCATATTGTACATTCCTCTCTTTCTCTGAGCCTTCTTTTCAATTGCAAATGTGTGTAGGTTATTCACACTCTAGTTTAGAGACAACTAAAACAACCTTCACCTGGCCCATGCCGTTCTCCACTCATCAGTTATTGATTTCAAATCACCAGGTTCTTCCCTTTGCACAGGTTAGCATAAGTTTTAAAAGTACCTGGAAAAGAAAACAACTCTCTCTGCTTCCAGCTTCTACCTGGTCCCACCATGGTCCCTTTTGTAATTTCCCTCCCTAACTTTTAATAAATGCCATTATACCCACATGTCCTGCCATGGATTCTTCCACGTGGGACACAAAGAATTTGAAATCTTCTGATCACAGACTACATCGTTGTTAACACTAGGACAGGGTGAACGGGTAGAAATCAAGACTGTAGAGGTGGTGGCCATACATTTCATGGAAACAAAATGATCAGCTTCTTTTACTTACTTCCAAAGCGTTTCTTCTGTGATATTAGATGAGACCAGAAACTCATCTAGGAAAATAAGAATTTGAAAGTAAAATGAGAATTTGAAAGTTGAAATACATAGCATGTTCTCAGGGTTTTATGGGATGAAAAGGTTGAGAATCACTATCTGCATAGCCTGGTCCCATGTGTACAATTTGGGAAGTATTGCTTATAATTTTCTAAGATTTGATTATCTCCCATTTCATCTGTCTTCCCAAGAGAGAAGAGATTCAGAAATAGTTCTCTGTACTTGTTCCTGTACATTAACACTGACCTACAGCCCTAGAACTCCCTGTGGAGGCAACTTCCTCACTATATCAGGTTCCTCAAGAAGGTTCTCCTGTGAGAAGGACCAGAATCCAGGAACCTGCCTTTCAGCTTTGAGTCAGAGTATGAGCAAATGAATCAGCCATATCCTAGGGAGAGTTTATCCATGACTCTGGTTCTCTGGGTTAGGAAGCCAGCAGAGAATAACACTCTGGAGAAATTTGGACAGCTCATAGCTTAAATTTCTCCTCAAGTGTAGAATGCCTTCAGGGGAAGCTGCATGCTACTCTGAACAGAGGAATGCCATGTGCTCTTCTGTATCAGGTGGTGCTGAGATGTGCCCCTTGGCACAAATGACCTGATACATCTTGAGCTGCAAAATCAGGCTGGAATGCCAGGGAAGGTAGCCCAAGGAATGCTCCCCACCCTCACTCCCTGCCTGTGCCTGCTTCCTGAAACCTGTGGAACAAGCTGTACTTTGCATAGTGAGCTCTGTGCCATCCGACTCACTGCTGTCATTGCTAGTAAATATGTGACCATCAGAGTCTTGTGGTCCAGTGTTAGAGCCTGTTCTTTTCTCTGCCTCACTTGTTCTCAACTGCAGATGTGCCTCTTATTGGCTCCCAATTTTTGAAATGAAGACAGAAACAAAACTGAAAATACCCTGGAGCAGTTTTGCCAACTCCTGGTTTTTCTGTTTGCTTCCTCTGATAGCCATTGGTTTGGGGAGACTTCCCTTTCCTGATCCAGGCAGTGGGCCTGTGCACAATAGCCTCTGGCATGTTGCCCATCAGATAACAAGGCTGGCTCTCTGTAGGTCATAGTGTGGACTGGAAAAAGTGAAAGTCTCTGGCTGAAAATAAAAGCTCAGAAAACCTTTGCTATTTTCCCCTAGGCTCTGCTGTGTCTGCAGCACTGGCCTTGCATAAGCTACTCCCATCCCACCTATAAAACCAGGACAGAGCTCTGTGGAGCTGGTAACAAAGACCATGGCTGTCAGAGGGCTGTGACTATTTCATCCCAGGGAGGTCTTACCCAAGACATTCTGTGTAACAGATAGGGACAGTTCATCCTGTCTGTGAATACTTTGGACCAACATCAGACTTCATCAATAAGAAAGAGTTCTTCTTTCTCTCAGTCCATTGCAAGAGATTTTTTTATTTGTTCTAGGTAAGATGTGTATTGGTCCAGAGCATATTGGTCAGGGTTCAGCTGAACAGAAGAGAACCTACTCTAGCTCATTTCAGGAAAAAGAGATTTAGTGCACAATTCTGTCTTACGGAACCATTGGGCAAGTAAGAGAAGCAGACTGTATGGTTTGGACACACCAAGGGAAGGGACTGAGGGAGAGGGAAAGGAAGAAAAAAATCATCTTGACTAATTTCATTGTTTTGTTAGTTCACAATATAGTATCCCTAAATTTGTGCTCAGAGTAGCTTCCAATTTCTGCCAGGGCTTAAGAACACATAGACAGACTTTCTTACACAGGCTGTTTGAGATCATTTGAAATGCATAGCTTAGGTACTGGTTTACCTCAGAACCAGTAGCCTCTGCCCTGTGAATGAGATTTTGAGACAGAAAATTCAGCAAAGTTCTTTGCCTGTTTTCAGAGTAATAATTGTGTTTGTGTTCTCTGCTCTGGAGTCAGGTGGAGAAGCCAGGTTTCTGAGGACCCTATGTTAGTCTTCACATCTGAGACATATCCTTGGGTTGATGCCTCCAAAAAGTGATTGGAAGTGTTCTTGGTGGTAAATTCACCAAATCTTTTCTGGACAACTGAATGAGCCATGTGTTCTGAACAACTGACTTCATGTGGAAGAATGAAGGACTCAGTCTCTTGAAGGACATTGAAAATAATAGTTTAAACTCTTTAGAAGCTGTCTTTCAAAGAGCAGCTCTCTACACCATTCTTTTTTCCACTGAGTATTTTTCTTCCTTATGTGGCCCTTGGAACAGTGGGAGAAGCTTCCCTGCCTCAGGGAGTTTTGTTGAGCCCCGGTAATTTGTTAGGCCCATCCTCTTACTTATGTTCAAATGGCCTCAACTGGGCTTGTCAGCAGCCTCTGCAGTAGATATACCACCTCTCCTTCCAGAGCACAGCTGAGTGATTTATGCACAAGACTAAAACTGTATCCCATATTTTCTTTCTGAAACTGGTTTCTGTCAAGAAAAGGAATTTCCAGGCACTCATGGCTCACACCTATAATCCTAGCTACTTGTGAGGCTTAGGTCAGGAGAATTGCAGTTTGAGGCCATCCTGGGCAAATAGTTTGCAAGACCCTATCTCCAAAATAACCAGAGAAAAATGGACTGGAGGTGTGACTCAAGCAGTAGAGTGCCTGCTTTGCAAGTGTGAAGCCCTGAGTATAAACCCCAGTCCCACCAAAAAGAAAAGGAAAAAAAAAAAGAAAGAGGGAGTTGGTGGTGTTGGAGTGGCGTTGGCTATTCCCATCCTCGAGGGGAAGTGAGTCGGGTTCTTCCCCAATTTTCCAGCTACCAAATTTGTTCTATCTTTCTTCCTTAGCCATTCTCATGGAGCATCTTTCCTACTGTTCCATTTCAGGAAACCTAATACTGTGTGCCCTGAACTACACTGGAGAAACCAGCCAGTGAACAAAGTAGCTTGCTTTGTTGAGGGATGGTATTTTGCCGGTGTCTAGGAATTGCTGGGCTGTGGGGCTCTGTGGGTAATATAGGATAAGGGTGTGGAGGGCTCTCATGTTTCTGGTTTTCTTCATGGTGGGATAAACATCCCCCAGAACAGGAAAGGGGCTCAGAATAAAAACCCTATATTTAAGTATTGAAACTACTATAAGTATTTGTGTGGGGAAGAGGCGGACTTTTTAAAAGTTTTTTAAAACCTGTTGACTCTCTTGGTTTGTCTGGTAAGCTTAGAAAAGGGAAAAGTTGCAAACTTCAAGCCTCACTTTTGTCTCTTTCTGTGGTCATTGAAAGTAGCAGTCAGTCAGGAAAAGCTCTATGCTAGGAGGAGAGATATCTGATTTCCTATACTCAAAATTCCTATGACAGAAAAGCATTGCTTAAAGCCAGGTGTAGTGGTTCAGACCTATAATGCCAGCTACTCAGGAGGCAGAGGCAGGAGGATAGAGCATTCAAGGCTAAACCTAGGTAAAGTTGGCAAGACCCTATCTCAAAATCTAAATACTGGACTGGGGAGTGTGGTTCAAGTGCCACCTAGCATGCTTGCCTAGCGTGCTGGAGGCCCTGAGTACAATCCCCAGTAGACAGACAGACAGACAGACAGACACACACACACACACACACACACAGCATTTCTTAATGGTTTTATAAAGCGTCTTTGTATATCTGTGTTATTCAGTGATGTTAGGATGATGAACCATTCCATCTTTATAAGCTCATGTGGTGAAAATACATATAAATTTGACTTTGTATTCTCACCTGTAAAATAGAGATAACTCCTGCTTTTTAAAACTGTTGCTTTTTTTTTTTTTCGGTAGTACTGGGGTTTAGAACTCAGGGCCTCATGCTTGCTAGGCAAACACTCTATCACTTGTGTCACTCCATCAGCCTTTTTTGTGATGAGTTTTCTTGAAATAGGGTCTCTTGAACTATTTGCCTGGGCTGGCTTCAAACCATGATCCTTCCGATCTCTGCCTCCTGAGTAGCTAGGATTATAGGCTTGAGCCACCAGCAGTGTTTTTTTGTTTTGTTTTGTTTTGAGAAATGTCAATCTGTTTGAGTCTCAGTTTCTTCCTCTGTTAAGTAAAGCAAATGCTATCTCAGGATTGTTGAAAGGATTAAGTTAAATAAGTTCTTGAGGATATATGCTCTACTGTTGCTTCATCTCTGGAGTTTCCTTCCTACTAGGAAGGGACTTTGCTGGCCTCAGGAAGCCAGAGCATGCTGGGCTTTGGTGCCAGTACCCATCTGATTCACATCCATGACCTCTAGGGCCTAGTATCTCCATTTAGCTCCCTACATACTTCTCTTCACATATCCTGGACTCTGTTGTTAAAAGCCTTGTTTCTATGCTCTAGGCTCCCAGAACCCTGGTCGAAGCTCCCCTCCTCCTGGCTATGTGCCTGAGCGGCAGCAGCACATTGCCAGACAGGGGTCCTACACCAGCATCAACAGTGAGGGGGAATTCATCCCTGAGACCAGCGAGCAGTGCGTGAGTATGGGGTATGCCCATGGCCTGTGTCAGACCAAGGTTATGACTGGAATTCTTAGTGGACACAGTATAGACCTGAGGGGCTTGAATGCCATCCCATACCTCTTTTTATAAACCAGGCCGCCCCAAATGTAGGTCATTCCTTTCTAGTGGCCAAATATCAATTTCTGCCAAAGATGGGATCTAAACTTCCTAGCCCTCTTTGTATTGGGTGAGCATACAACTGCTTCTCTTTTGAGGCCCCTCAGTGGTCCCCTTGTAGAACTACTCTTTGCATAATTCTCAGAACTGCCTATTTTCATTTCAGTGGTTTTAACATATGAACAATCCTAAACTGACAGGTTGTATTTTTCACTGGTTGTATTTTACTTTTGCTGTTTCTTGATGAAGGCAGGGAGTAAACCATATCCCAATTACACTATAGGATTGAATAGAGTAACCAACAGCCAGTTATGTTAGTTATGGATACATAACAAGTTACCAAAAATTAAGAGTCTTGAAACAATATATATTATTTTAGTTTCCTTGGGTCAGGAGTCCATGCATGGCTTAGCTGGGTCTTTTGCTCAGGGTCATACAGGATTGCGATCAGGGTACTAGCCAGGCGGCATTCCTTTTCTGAGCTTAGGGTTCTCAGCAAAATTCAGTTCCTGTGGTTGTAGAGCTGTGGTCCTGTTTCTTCACTGGATGTCATTCAGGACTGCTCTGAGTTCATAGAGGCCAACTGCAGTTCCTTGCTACGCTGTCTCAGCATGACAGCTTCTTATAGGCCAGCAGGAGACTCTGCAGCTCCATTCTGCAAAGATGGAGTCTTTTATAACATAGCATAATAACGGGAATGAGCATTCCTTTCCTCTTCACTGTAGTCTATTGAATAAAAGCAAGTCCTAGGTTCTACTTGTACTCAAGGGGAGTGACTCATTGGTCACTTTATAGTGTGTCTACTACAGTGGCTCACCCATTTTAATGTCTGACCTTTTAACCAGTGGCTTCCTTCATAAAGATGAGAGTTTGGCTTAGTGAATGCAGCAAGGGTGAGATCTCTGGTTTCATTTTAGTCTATTTAGTGAATTTGCCTTGATTGCAAAGAGTTAAGGTTTGTTTTTATGTTTCTGAGATTTGGTTTTAGAAGGGGAAATTTATTTTATTTTATTTTTTTTGCTTTGGTGGTACTTGGGTTTGAACTCATTTGGTAGGCAGGCCCTCTACTACTTGAGCCATACCCCCAGCCCTTTATGCTTTAGGTATTTTTCAGATAGGGTCTCACATTTTTGCCAGGGGCTGTCCTTAGACTGCAGTCCTCTACCTACATCTCCTGCATGGTTGGAATTATGTACCACTATACCCAACTTATTTGTTGAGATGGGGTCTTGCTAACTGTTTGCCTGGGCTGGCCTTGAACCTTAATCCTCCCAATTTTTGCCTCCCCAGTAGCTGGAATTATAGGCATATGCCACCTTGCTCAGCACAATAAGGGGAAATTTCTTAAGGGTAAAATAAATGTCCAACAGAAGAGCTACCACCATTGCATATGGGGTTTTATATAAAACAAAACAAACAAAAATTATTTCTGTAACTTTTCTTTCATTATTCAAACTGTAATAGGCTATGAAAAGCTCTTTATACTGTTCTTTCTCCCTTCTATACTCCTGCCTTCTACATAAATTGAGAGTGCTGCAGGACTCAAAGGGGATGTGAATTTGGAACAGTGACCTGGAGTGCCTTTAGCTGCAGATTCCTTTCCTGGGCATTTTACTCACCATCCTTTCTGTTTCTGGACACCTGCTGTCCTGGGGCATGAGATCCCTGGGAGTGCACATGAGCTAGATTGCCTTTGGTCTGTATCTCTTCTCATGGTCCTGTACCCTTCACTTTTTAAACTTTACCTGCCAGGCCCTGGAAGATGTGGGAGGATTTGACTCTTAGGGAGGCCAAGGAAGTGGTAGCTAAAGACTACTAAGGTACTCCCTGAGTGGCTACCTCTTTAGTTGAAGAGAATTGCTCCTGGTGACAGGCCATTCAAGATAAATCCCCTTCATAGAAACTAAAATAGCATAGTATGTGGTGAAAAAATAACCCGCTGGAAGTTTCTTAAAAAGTGAAACTAAGTTTGTTTTTTTCTTTAATCAGATTTAGGTAATAGTTGCATATATTTGCTAACTTTTAGAATGAACAAAGCATGATTCATCTTAATTTTTTGGCTTAAATTATCTGACAAATTATGTTAGCACAATGTCACTTCCTTCACTTCCCCTTTGAGTTCTGCAGTGCTCTCATAATGAGGGTCATGTTTTGCAAAAGCAATTCATGGGATTTGGCAGCTTTTTCCCCAGAGCCTCTCTTGAACCTTTGGTGTTCTTCCTCCATCATCATGCCTGCTGTGTTGTTATACTCCTTCAGTATCTCATTTCTGTTAGCTGGTCTAACATTGCCAAATACGCACTTGACAGCTTGGTTTCATCTACTTTGGGAAATCTGATATCCTTAGCAAGATTTGCAATTTTACTTTGCAGTTTATTTGCCTTGATTGGCCAATTTTTGAAAATCATATGTGACTATATGACCTAAAGCACTTAAAATTATGGGTGGGAACGGACCCTGGTATTAAATGGAAAAACAAATTTGACTTGGAAACTAATTACATGAAATTTTATGTTAGTGAATTTCATAATTCTGACACTTTGCTTTGGAGCTCAGAAAATGAATACAGTTGGCCCTTTCTGTCTGTGGTTCAAGTCTATAGATTCAACCAACTATGATGGAAATATTCAGGAAAAAATTGTATCTGTACTGAACTTGTTTTTGTCATTCCTTAAGCCATACAATACAGCAACTATTTATATAGCACTTATATTATATTAGGTATTATATGTAACCTAAAGATGATTTCAAGTACACGGGAGGATGTATGTGGGTTATTTGCAAACACTGTGCTATCTTATTTAAGGATCTTGAGCATGCACAGATCTTGATATTTGCAGAAATTCTGGAGCCAATCCCCCATGGATATGGAGAAACTCTACTCTGAAATGGAAGACCCCACCCCACCCTGTATAGAGAAAATGAAGTGGGGTGACCTTCCAGAAATTAGTTGGAGAAACAGCTATTCTAAAGCTTTACATTACTGCATTTGACCAGGAGTCAGATAAATATTTTGATTTGCATAGATTATTACCACTTTTACCACTGCATCAGAACTAGGAACTGGGAATTTTTGTTACAGTGCCAGCTGTTCACTAGTTTTATGACTTTAGACATGTCTCCTAACATTTCCTGGCCTGTAGTTCTCATCTGTGAAGTGAGACAATACTTGCCTTTATAAATTATGAATTATGGAATGTAAACAGAAGCATTAAAACACCATCAAAACTCACTGGATGCCTCCGCAGGGTAGTACCATCTCCAGCACCAGGCGCCAATGTTGATGAGCCAAGAAAATGCCAACAAGAGAAGTAGCGTCTCTGCATTGCTCTCCTGGCAGAGTTCCTTGGAATGCCAGCCAAGCATTTTTCTCCCTCCTGGAAACTTGCCTTTCAAGCTAACGGAGAGGATAGTACCTTACTAACAGTTTTTCCCTCTCATGAGAAAAGAACACTTTCATATTTGACAAAAAGGACCATGTGCTAGCTCTGACTGGTTCATAAAGCCTGGATCATCTGTCTTGAGATTTACATTGGAACTGTGGTTCTATTATATGTCTTGCCTTACAGATGCTGGATCCCCTAAGCAGTGCTGAAAATTCCTTGTCTGGAAGCTGCCAATCCTTGGACAGGTCAGCAGACAGGTATGGGGCTGTGGGTGGTTTGAGTAGGCATTTTTGGAGCTGATGGGTTAAGGAAGTAGGGTTAACTAATGTGTGTCTTTGATCCAGCCAATTCCACAAACCCAGGGTTAAAATATAATGCTTCCAGGAAAAGCCTTCTTCTTAATTTCCCAAATGCCATGAGAATGTTTTAGTTGCATAATAAAGTAAATGTAATAATGGCTTTTAAAATAGCAGCTCATTTATTAAGTGCTTGTGTGTTGTTCTAAGTACTTTATATATTTTGACTTTTTGCATAATATATGCTGTTCTTTTTTGGACCTATTGCTGTGGTATGTGCTGAGAAGAAGCAATGAACTGTTCACATTTTGGGGAAACTGAATTTTCACCCATGGGTTTACTTTCATTGTTTTTCTCCAAATGTTTCTGGTGGAATAAGAAACTGGGATATGAAAATTAGAAGACAGACTATCTAGACTGCCTCACAGGCCACAATACCTGCTTGGTGAAACCCTCTTCTTATACTCTAGGAGGAAACAAGTACTGTTTTTTGTATATCAAATGGCTCTGTAGTTCTCCCAGTGACTGGGGAGTTTTGAGATAGGGTAGCCCAGGCTAGCCTGGAACTCACTATGTAGCCCAGGCTGGCTTCCGACTCACAGCCTTCCGAGTGCTGGAATTATAGGCCTGCACCACCATGCCTGGCTTGGTGAAGGTATTTGAAGCAGGTTTGTCCTCCTTTTAACCATCTCTGGCTGTGCTTAGGGGTATGGTCAGAGGCTAGGGAGCAGGGTTTTTTTTCGTTTGGGTTTTGTTTTTTTTTTATTTTTAAAAAAAGTTTGTGTAACTGATTGTGTTAATGTGGGTACTGATCTTATGGCTGTGCCCAAATTTGTATAACACCTTTCCTAATAGATTTGACACTGATAAGCATTGTCTTCCCTCTACGTGTTATAGTATACACTCATAGTTACTTGTTAATTTCATTATGTAACCTTGTTTTGGGTTTGCTGTCCAATCAGGGTAGCAAGAAGACACAGGTAAGAGTATCAGGAGGTGTTGCCACAGGCTGAGCCTCTACCAGGACAGGGACTAACTCTGGCTTTAAATTATGTCTCCTAAGCTTGGGGGTGAAGAGTAAGGACAAAGGGTCTAGTAATTGGGAAATAGTCACTACTTTGAGTTTCTGACCAGTGCCCCTCTCAGAAGGTACTCTCATGTCAGGGAAAAGGGCCATCAGGAAGATGTTGGGAAAGATAGCTAAAGTTTTCTACGTCCCTATTCTTGAGTATCTCCTCCATCCCTACAATGCTTTGTTTTCTTCTCCTGGGGAAGGAAGCCCAGTGGTAAGAATTGCCTTCCTTGAGGCCTGATCTGATCTGAGCTCAGGGGATTTATCTTCCCTTCATGGGAAAGGGCAGATCTGGAGCCAGATTGACATGGATCCAATTCTAGATCAGCGAATATTTGAGTGATTTCAGCCAAGTCCCTCAACTACTTTGTTTCTCAGTTTCCTCATCTCTAAAATGGGATGGTAGTAATTAGTCTGAAAGGAAGATGCCCAGGTTAGTGGCAGGAACAGACTTTGGAGTTATAGACCTGGACTTGAGTCTGGCTCTGTTAGTTTCCTACCTGTGTCCTTAGGCAAGTAAATAGGGGTGTTTATACCTAACCTGTAGGGTTTCTGTGAGGACTAATAGCATAGCAGCTGTTCAGTAATTGCTACATTATGATTATATTTCCTGCCCAACAGAGTTATGAGGATTAAATAAGAAAAAGCTCACTTTGCCAAATAACTGAGAAAGTGGCAGTCTGTAAACTATGATGTTATTGTCAGTACTGCCTGGGCCAGGGATTCTCTTGCAGATCTTCACCTGCTACAGATGTGGGAAGAAAGATCAAAAAGGAAAGGTTCATAGCCAGGGTGGAGTTCAGTAGGTCAGACTGCTTTGCCACTCAGGGTGTTGTCAGATTGGGCCTCTGGCTAGTGAAGGATGAGTGGAAAAAGCAGGAGATGGGGCTCAGGAAAGGGCAGCTTCCCTCTGCCTCAGCTTCCCACCACTGTACATGTAGAAGGCAGTTGAAAGGGGGGGACCATCTAGATCCTTGCCTTCTGCTGTCTGGGCTGTTCTGCAAGTGCCCTGATCTCTGTTTTGAGACTTCTTTTTCTTTTCTCCAGTCCATCCTTCAGGAAATCACGAATGTCCCGGGCCCAGAGCTTCCCAGACAACAGACAGGAGTACTCAGGTGAGTTCCATATAACTTGGGTGGGCACTGCAGGGGGTATCTGGTGGGACCACAGACAGCTCTGAATTGGGAAGCCAGAACTGTATGGTACTGCTCCTGGATTTGCTGCTGTAAGGTCTCAGGTGACCTTGAGGATGAAATGGCTCATTCATATTGACCGGCCTAGAAACCAGTAACTCTCCTGTCTTACTCAGATCGGGAAACTCAGCTCTATGACAAAGGGGTAAAAGGTGGAACCTACCCCCGGCGCTACCATGTATCTGTGCACCACAAAGACTACAATGATGGTAAGTGCACCTCCATGCAGCCCCTGCTGGCTCTCTGGAGAAATGCTGTGTTTAGAATTCTGCCTTGGAAAAGCCACTGGGGGCGGGAGAGAACCAGATGCTCCAGGCTCCATGTTTTTCTTTATTCCTGAGGAATTGTGCCCCAGACTTGAGGCAAGGTAGACAGGAAACTAGCCAGCTAGGGAGGATGGTATTGGTAGACCAAGATGTTGCCACTGGGAACTTTTTTCTTTGTCCGAATCCAGGTTGTACTCTCAGGTGCCGCCTCTTTAGTACACGTCTTCTGTGGCAGCAGCAGATGGGCTAGAGCTGCTGCAGAGGGGTTAGAAGAAGGATGCCAAGTAGAACATAGACTTAAACTGTGGGTTGGCCTTATGAAGGGCCTGTGAGTCTGCTCTGTGCCTTCCCTGTGGCCACGGCTCCTTGATCCAGGCTACTTCCTAATTCCTGCTTTTGTCTTGATTCTTGTGGTATTAAGGGGCAGCAGCCTCTCTGCCATGAGTCAGGTGGGAGGAAAGATAGGATGGATTCAAGTTGGTGTTGTCACTTTAACTGGTTTGCACATTAGGCCTTGTGGCTAGGCCTCTGACTTGCTCTATTTGCTCCCTGCACCCTTTCAGGCAGAAGAACATTTCCCCGAATACGGAGACATCAAGGCAACCTGTTCACTCTGGTGCCTTCTAGCCGCTCCCTGAGCACAAATGGCGAGAACGTGGGTTTGGCTGTACAGTACCTGGACCCTCGTGGGCGCCTGCGGAGTGCGGACAGCGAGAATGCCCTCTCTGTGCAAGAGAGGAGTGTACCAACCAAGTGTGAGGAGTGTCCCTGGCTAGGAGGAAACTGCCACGGGTGCTGAGATAATCTTCAGGGGCAGGAACACAGCCAGATCATTCAGCACTTAGGCTTAGCAATGAGTTGCTGCAGCCCACCCTCTCCACACTTGGAGAGCCTTGGAGAGGGCAAGCACACACCAGGTGGTAGTCCTAACTCCACTGTGACAAGGACTCTGGTCTTCAGTTCTTCCATATTTGAGCTGCAGAGCACACTGTCAGTCCCTGCCATATTAAGTTACTTAGGAGCTGTGGACATGAAGATACTTGATCAGTGCAGAAGGGCATTTTACCATAACTTTAGCCAGTCCTCTGCTTCTCAGGGCTCTGACCTCAAGGCTCCATTGACCAGGGCACTGGGGCTACTCCAGATGAGATGGAGATGCTGTACTGAGAGAGGGGATGGAACTGGGTGTGGAAGGAGCTAAGCCAGAGGTCCTGTGACTGAGCATCTGGAGAACAAGGGAGGTCCCCATAAAACGTGCATAACATAACACTTTCCTGCTGTTCTCCTGTAGCTCCTAGTGCCCCCATCAATTGGCGCCGTGGGAAGCTCCTAGGCCAGGGTGCTTTCGGCAGGGTCTATTTGTGCTACGATGTGGACACAGGACGTGAACTTGCTTCCAAGCAGGTCCAATTTGACCCGGACAGTCCTGAGACAAGCAAGGTACTTCCTTCTCCATTCTCTGACCTCCAGTTCTCCCCTTCCAACCATAATGCCTGTCTTATTGAACAGAGTAATTGCCGGAGGTGCCTCCTGGTTACTCTTCCTCCCACTCTCTCTCACTGTCTATCCTGGTCCTGGCATAGGGTGAAGGGACAATGATCAAATACTTACAGGAGGGATTGAGTCCATGTCAAAGTCCCAAGCAACCCAGACAAAAATGTGATGGTCAGTGCTACAAAGGGCACCCCTTTACCCTCAACCCAGGAAGAAGCCATGGGGTTCACTCACTTGCTCCGGTGCTTAAGGAGGAGTCTCGTAGCCTATACTTCAATTTGAGTGAACAAATAACAGTAGTTACTGTAACTAAGCTCCCACAACCCCTCCTCCCTGTCTGCCTTCCTCCAGATGGGAAGTGCCACATCCCAAGGGCTGCCCAGTATTGTGGCCTAGGGCCAGACAGGTCAGAGTCCCCTGTTCTGCAGCTGAAGTCTCTTAAGGCAGACCCCCTGTGAGGTGCAGACTAGGGCAAGCTGAGCTGATCTTCCTGAGTGCCCAGGTGACCAGTGACCCCTCCCCAGGAGGTGAGTGCTCTGGAGTGTGAGATCCAGTTGCTGAAGAACTTACAGCACGAGCGCATTGTGCAGTACTATGGCTGCCTGCGAGACCGTGCCGAGAAGATCCTGACTATCTTCATGGAGTACATGCCAGGGGTATGTGGCCCCTTGAATGCTTGTGAGACTTGCAAGAGGGCTTGACCTGGGGCTGGGGCTGCAGGGGAGGATCACCCTTGACCTGAGGTTGACTCCCTGAGGCTTCAGATGCTCTGGGAAGCCAGGAGAAGTAGTGGCATACTTGACGGCAGCAGAACCCTGCCTTGTGGCTGGAGTGAGGGTGTGAGATGAGAATTTTCTCAGTCCCAACTAACCTGAGCCTGGCACTAAGGATTGGTCCCTTGTTCAGTAAATCCCTTCTTTAGGACTTGGGTGCTCCCTTGGGAAGGACTGTTTTCATGCTTTTCTCCAAGCTGCCTGGCAACTCCTGACAAAGTGCCTCACACATCGCAAACGGGACTTAGATGAATCGCTTTGCTTTGCTAGATGCTGGGGACTGGAAATAGTCTTGCCTCCTCTCACAGCCAGCCCCTGAAGGAACCCTTTCTGACTTCCTTTGGCTGGCAGGGCTCAGTAAAAGACCAGTTGAAGGCCTATGGGGCGCTGACGGAGAGTGTGACCCGCAAGTACACCCGGCAGATTCTGGAGGGCATGTCTTACTTGCACAGCAACATGATTGTTCACCGGGACATCAAGGGTGAGTAAGGGTCAGGCTGCATAGAATCCTCAAAACCTGGATTCAAGTCTACTGTTTAGTGACTGGTGGGTCAATCGCGGAACTATTCTGAACTTTCCCAGTTGGGGATAGGTGTGAACAGTTGGGGAACATACCCTGAAGTGGTACACAAATGTTGGTCATGGAGCTGACCCCTTCATTCTATAGGTCCAAAGTTTCCCTTCACTGGACAGTTTGTTGTGTGCAGCTCATAACTAATTCATTGATAGCCCCACCCTCCCAGCAGTTCTCAGTGACCTGGGAGTGGGGAATGGTGGAAAATGCAAACGTGAGGCCAGGCATGGTGGCTCACACCTACAATCAGCTATTCAGGGATGGAGACTGGGAGGATTGCAGCTTGAGGTCAGCCCAGGGAAAAAATTAGTGAGACCCCCATCTCAATTAATAAGCTGTGTGTGGTAGCATGTGCCTGTCATCCCAGCTACACATAAATCAGAGGATTGCAGTCTAGGCCAGCCCAGACAAAAACACAAGACCCTGTCTGAAAAATAACTGAAAGCATAAAAGGGCTGAGGGTGTAGTTCAGGTGGCAGAGCACCTGCCTGACAAGCACAAGGCCCTGAGTTTGAACCCCAGTACTGTGGGAAGAAAAAGGCAAACATGTCCAAGGTGGTAGCTTCTGCCCTTTCATGCCCTAGGTGCCAACATCCTGCGAGACTCTGCTGGGAATGTCAAGCTTGGGGACTTTGGGGCCAGCAAACGCCTGCAGACCATCTGCATGTCGGGAACTGGCATGCGCTCTGTCACTGGCACACCTTACTGGATGAGCCCTGAGGTTATCAGTGGTGAGGGCTACGGAAGGAAGGCAGATGTGTGGTGAGCACTGGGACCTGTTGGGACCCCATCTTCCGGCCTGGTCTATAGGTGGTCTGAATTATCTTGGGGACTCTCTACGTTGTGGCAGAGGGAGTGAGGATTGGTGTTCCCAGGGACCGGACTCCATGTTAGTGGGGGTGGGGGGTTGTGTAACAGCATATAAGACAAATGGGGTGTTTTAACCCCAAACAGCAAACTGTTAGTGCTGAGAATTTAGGTCATGGAGAAAAATCCCTCATGTTTGCTAACCCCTACTCCTTAAGAAGCAGGATCTTCTCTAAAGGCCTAGATCTGTCTCTAAGCAAGAGCAGACTTCTGGCCTTTCTCCTGTTACCCAGATGACTTGCATTTGCTCTGCCTAACTCTATGTCCATTCTCAGACAGGATTCAGGAATTGTGAGAACTTTTCTCCTGGAAAAGTTACTGTGGTTAACTGAATAGTAGTCCTCCAAAGAGATCTATATCCTAATCCCTGGAAACTGGGAATGTTACTTTGTAGGACAGCAGGGCTTTTGCAGCTTAACTAAGGAGTTTGTGATGGATAGGCTATCCTGCATTATCCAGGTGGGCCTAGTATAATCACAAGGGCCCTTACAAAAGAGAGGCAGAAGGCCAGAGTGGGGGATATGGCAGTGGAGAAGCACGAGACTCAAATAAGGCAATGAGGGGAAGCGTGAACTAAGAAATGATGGTGGGGCTCATTGGTAGAGCACATACATGCTTAGCTCCACCTAAGCAGTTCTACCTTGGATTTCATCTCCAGCACCAAAAAAACCAAAACAAAACAAAAAACAAGGGTTTGTGGAGTGGCTCAAGTGGTAGAGTACCTGTGTAGCAAGCATGAGGCCCCTAAGTTCAACCCCAGTAACAGCACCCACCACCACCAAAGAGAGAAAGAAATGCAGGAGACCTCTAGAAGCTACAAAAGCAAAGAAACAAGACTGTAGAAGAAAAATCATCCTTGCTGATGCGGCAACTTTAGCCCAGGGAAACTAATTTTAGATTACTGGCCTCCAGAACTACAAAGTAAATTTGGGTTATAAATTTGTAAAGCACAACAGCAACAGAAAACTTAATATAATTAATCTTGAGACTTTCTGTCAATGCTCAGTGGCTTGGCTTTCCCTAGTCTCAAGAAACACCCAGGTAAGGGGTGATACATAGGTTGATGATACCCATGTGGACCAAGGCCAAGAGTGCCTTGAAGATTTTTCTGGCCTTGAGGATTCAAGGGCTGTCAGCCCTCAGCTTGGCCCATCTTGTACTTCAGTGTGATCTGAGGAAGGCACCTTTCACCACAGTGGGTGGGCCTCTTGAAAGCCTAGAGCTGGCTGATGGGTGACATGAGGTTCTTTCTCCAGGAGCCTGGGCTGCACTGTGGTGGAGATGTTGACAGAGAAACCACCTTGGGCGGAGTATGAAGCTATGGCTGCAATTTTCAAGATTGCCACCCAGCCCACCAACCCTCAGCTGCCTTCCCACATCTCTGAACATGGCAGGGACTTCCTGAGGCGCATTTTTGTGGAGGCTCGCCAGAGACCTTCAGCTGAGGAGCTGCTCACACACCACTTTGCACAGCTCGTGTACTGAGCTCTTAAGGCCACACTGTTGCTGGCCACCTCCTGCTATGTGCAAGGAGCTGCTGTGGGGCTCAGTGAAGTTGCTGCTTCAGGCAAGGCTGTGGATGGAGATACAGTCCAGCCAGAGTTTGTCTGTGCCCCTTCTGCACTGGGGCTCAGAGCCAGGATGGGATGGCTGTAGCCTCAAGGACTGGGAGCCCCCAGCATGCCAGACCAAAGAGCTCCAGCATCCTAAGCTCAGTGTGGAAGGGAAGGGGCTGGGAACGGTGTTCGAGGTGGCCATGGGCCCTACCCACTCTTGGGATATGTCCTGATGTCGCAGTCAGCACAGAAGCCCAGAGGGGCTGGGGGCATAGAACTGACACAAGGGTATGAATAGTGTTATTTTCATTCAGAGTGTTATTCTGTTTCTCCTCCCAGTGTCCGGAGACCACCAGGGTGTCTCTGGGCTAAATGAGCCCATTCAACCATGAGGTAAAGCCCAGCATCCCCCAAGCAACAGAAAGCAGAGGCCCAGGCTGCCCTCACCCTTAGAGCCCCCAGGTCAGCTTTGCCAGTCCTTGTCTTTTACCAAAGATGAATGAAGCAAATATTATGCTGCCTTATTCAGGGAAGGAGGAGCCTGCTCTGCCTGCCCCCATGATCCTGACCCCTCAAGCAGAGGCCTGAGATGTGGAACTGCCCCTCCTGAGCGGGGAGACCCAGTCTTGTCAATGCAATTAATTGTCTCTGTTTTACAAGTTGGAGTCACCCTTATGCTGTATCCAGTTCCTAAACTGGGAGGCTGTGTGTCCTCTGAGAACCCAGCTGGGCTTGGGCCTTGGGCTGGACTAGAAAGAGCTGATGGAATGACCTTAGTGCATCTGGCCTGGCTAACTGCCCTGTGCCCCACTGGGCCATTCAGGGGAGCCCCAGGAGTTGTCTCGGGCTATCTGAGTTGTGACCCCTCCAGGCCCAAGCCCAGTCCATCTGATAAAAGGGAAAACCCATGTGCTGCCACCAGCTTTGTCCAAAGCCACCAGCTCTGTTCTTCCTTAGCCTTGCCCATCTGAGTTCTCCACCTCTTTCCCTTCTTGCTCTTCCCTTGGGGGAGGAATGCAACAGGGGTCAGGGAAACAGTATCTCCAAGCAGCTTAAAAGTTGGCCATATTTACCTCAGCCTGGGCGCTGGTCCTTTCTTCCGGCCCCTCCCCTCCAAAATGTGCCTATTGCTACAGCTCCTCCCTCCTAACTCCCAGTTTCCTTGGGAGTTGTCATTAAAGAAAGAGAAAAAAAAAGAAAAAAAAAAAAGCCAGTGCCCAGGGATGGGTGTCTCCAGAGTTGGGGATTAGCGCACCAGGCAGCTCATTGCCAGCCATGCCCACTTCCCCATGGGCACAGAACAAGCCAAAGCCTTCGTTGTATGTTGACGATGCACTTTTATGAATGTAGTTTCTATCGCTGTTTTTAGCCTTTTCACATCATGTAATGTGAGGCCTTGTACTTGTTAATTTATATCTCAGATCATATTTGAATGGTTTTTATATATATCAATTCTAGACTGTTACAGGTGATGGACGCCTCAAAAGAGAAGAGAAAATGAAAGCAGCTGGTTTTGCAGAAATGTGTGTTACACGGTGCCAATTGGGCCTGGGCCCCCTCTATTCCATCCCTTTTCACCCAGGGTCCTCTGTCAGGCCATCCTCCACCACCCTTGGAGGCCAGTGAGCACACGCTTTCGCTCCTGCCTCCACCTCAGCGCTTGTCCAGGGTGGGGAGTGGCCCCTCATCATGACCAAAGCTGCCAAGTGGCAGCTCAGCCTCTCCACGACCATCTTGATGGCTGTAGCGCTCCTCAGCGCACACATCCCCATTTCCCAAGAGGAAACAGATCACAGTGCCACTGACAAGATGAGATGACTCTGTGTATCCCAGGTTCAGGCTCTCACAGAGCCCTACTCCCAGAGTCTTACTTCACAGGCAGTGAGTTTTAGAAATGAATTTAAAAACAAGCCAACAAACCTTGCAGTCCAAAACCAACCAACCAAAAGGTCCCTAACTTTTTTTGTGTGTGTGCCAAAAACTGTGGACATGCTGGTTCAGCATCCTCAGGACCAAGCTGTTGCTTAATTTTAATTTATTCTTTTTTTTTAAATTAACTAAGCCCGATGAAAAGTTGTGGGTCTCTAGGATCACCTGGGCCCAAAGGTTCTGAAAGGCAGTTTCCTAGCAGCCCAATGCTTGCTGTGGGAAGGGGCTATGCTGCCAGTTTATCATTCCATGGGGATGCATATGCCTTAGCCCTACACAGAAGGGCCAGGGCTGGGTCAGTGCCCATGCTGCCACCCTCCTGCCCCTCTTGCCCACTCAGCTCTGTGTCTGTCTGAACTACAGATTGTGCAGAACCTGCAGCCATCGTTATTTGACTGTACCTTGACCGAGGGCTTGCAGTGCAAAGCCAGGCCAGTGTTGAACATTACTTACAATAAAAGGGATCATTTATACCAGAGGGGTCCTGTGGCCATGCTTTTGGTTGGAGAAGGTGGAGGTAGGTGTTTGTCAGGGAGGGGTGAGGTATGGTATGTGGCAATAAGCTTGGACCCTTCGAAACTTGAAGAAGGGTCCTGGCCTGACTTGGCAGGGTACCACTGTTAGCTCAGGTGTTCCCCACTTTTCTTCCCCCCCACCCCCACCCCCTGATCCACTAAGGTGGCACTATTAGTCCTTTTGACCAGACCAGTAGCTGAATTCTTGGGAACTTTTGCATATAGTAGGGTCTGCCTGGCCCAAAGGCACCCTTGGGTCTCATCTTTTCAGGGCAGCAGTCAGAAGCCACCTCTCCAGCATCTCCCTCTGGTCCACTTGCCACTGTTCCTTACTCTGAGCAGGCGAGACCATCCTTGTCTCTATCAGAGACCTCTGGTGCCATTCCTGCTGAATGCCTACCTCAAGGAGAGGGCAACAGTGGGTCATCTGCCACCAGGGCCCGGGGCCCACTTCCCTATGATCACTAGCAGGAGATCACCAAAGGAGTTGAGTTGGATGGAACAGCGGCAGCAAATCCTCTGGGAGTTTCTGTCCTCTTGCTCTACCAACTCATCTGTCCCATGGTTTGCAGAAAGTGGGACAGCGGGGTCTGAGGCAGAACAACCCAGTCTTCTGCTGAAGAGGTAGGCCTCAGGTTCTCCAAACTTGCCTTGTTTTTCTGCTGTGAACTGTTTGTCCTTCAGTGTGCCCAGGCTCTCAGAGGTGGTTTCTCTCTGGATGATTTCGCACAGTAGCTGTGGCTTCCCCACACCCCCCGAGCTTGAAAAGGTACAGGGAAGATGACAGCAATTAGAAGGGGAAAGGCAGTAGCCACTAAAACCTTCTGCGGCACTTGCGTGTTCTGCAAGTTCCCACCATTCCTTGCAGATTTCCACGGCAGGGCAGAGGGCTAGGAGGGAACTGAACAGTTGTGACCAGCTAGAAGAAAGGGGTCAAACCAGGACTAGGCCAAAAGTTGAAGGGTTCTGCCTTGCACCCCTCCCGCAGGGGGCACCATTAATGCCTGTCTAGCTCCCCTCCTTTTCAGAAAGGGGTTGTGTGAGTCAGCGGGCCTGGGATGTCTTTTAACAAACCAAAGCTAAGGAGGACAGAGTGGGGTTTCAGTTGCCTAACACTCAGGGTGGGGTAAGATGGTGTGGTGTGCTGCACCAGAAGAGGAGGACCCCATTTTCTCAAGCTGGCTAGCACTTTCCTGACACCCATTACCCTCTCCCCCAGTCAAGGCCAGAAGTGCTCTGAGTTGATTGACCCTTTTCCCCCATCATGGTGCTTCTGTATCCTTCCTGCCACAAAGCTTCCCCACCAGCACCCCCATCAGGCCACATAATACACAGTCGATCTGTTTAAACATGTTTAAAACAGGGTGGATCACAACAGTCAAAACGGGAGGGGAACATGGCTCCTGCCAGTCACTGAGGCTCTTCCCTGGTGGGGGCTTTAGCTCTGGCGCAAGGGGGTCCCAAAACCCCAAGGCAGCAGGCCTTGCATTGTCAATTCCCCATCCTCTTCCCCACCAGCGTGGTGGCATCCATGAGGCCCAGCAGGTGGCACTCTTGCTCTCCTCCCAGTCTCCGTGGCTCAGGACCAGGCAAAGGGTAGAGGTAGATGGGGAGACATGGGGTCCGCACAAGGCCCGGGTGGCAGTGAGGGAGCTTGGGACCCTGAGGGGGAGCATGCTGACTCCTTGCTGGAGAAAAGGCACCTAGATAGGGAAGCTAGGCTCGGCCTCCCAGGGGGCCAGGGGGTGAAGTGGAGTGGGCTGGAGGAGGAAGAAGCAGGGTGGTAAAGCAAATCCAATCCTGGTTTCCAACCACCCCCCACCCAACCCCCCCCCCCACCACTGAGGGAGATGGAAGGAATCCTGCGACAGAGCTCTGGAACCTTCTGCCTGAGAGCCTTGCTTCTTCCCACAGCCCTGATCAACCTCTTTCCCACCGCGCTTGGGGGCTCCAGGCCCTCTGCGGGAGGGAGTGGAGGGGCAGAGGGACCTCAGGCTGTCTTGGTGCCGGGGTCCACCTCCTTGTGGGCCCAAAGCTCCTTGTGCTGTTTACGGCCAAAGCCCTCATCGTAGTTGCCTTTGCTCTTAAACAGCTGCTGAAAGTGGGGTTTGCAGTAAAATTCGCCGTGGAGCGCCGCGTAGCTGCCCAGGCTGCGGAAGCAGAACAGGAAGGTCAGGGCGGGTCAGGGCTGGGAGGCAGGGGGGGGCAGGCAGGGCAAGGGCGCACCTGAGCTTGGTGTGGCAGTGCTTGCAGCAGAAACAGGAGTTGTGGAAAATGAGCTTGTCTGCCACCAGCCGCTCCATGGGGTACACAGTCTTCTGGCAGGCTGCGCAGGTCTCCTTCACCTGGGCCCGCAGGCTGAAGGACTGTGTAGGGGACCCTTAGCCAGGAGCCTGGCCAGCGCTCACCCCTTCCTCCACCCACACCCACCCTCCCGCCCCTACCTTGGAGCGCTGCACAGCGCTGCTGCCACTGCTGCTTTTGGCGTCCTGAGAGAGAGGGGCAGTCAGGGCAGAGGCAGCTCTGGGGCGACCTAGGCCAGATCTCAGGGGCACTCAAAAGGTGGCAAAGGGTGCCAGGCAAACACGCTGCTCCGGGATCTCCCCTTCACCCTCCCACCTGGCTGGTCACCTACATGAGAGGGGTTGGCCTGGGAGGCTCCTGCAGCCTGGAACATGGCTTGTCCGAGGTGATGGAGGCCCGAGCAGAGACGTTGCACCCGCTGGGTTCTGCAAGGGGAAGTCAGTCGGAGGGGCCCCACGAGCCCTGCCCTGCCTGCAGGGTGGGGGTGTTTACAGGCAAGGGGCTGGGGGGCTGTGGTTGGGACTTTCCCTAAGTCATTTCCTGTTGCTCTTGGTCTTACCACTTCCGCCCCTCACCCACCCTCCTTGTCTGCCCGCCCCTACACTAGTCCCCAAGGGGCAGGGGTCTCTGAGTGGAACCATGTGTGGGGGAAGAACAAAGTTAGCGGGAGCCGCGGGGGACCAGGGGCTCCGCGCAGCCTCCAATGCCTCCCGCGAGCGGGGACCCTGCCTGGGCGAGGAGGGGATCAGGCGAGGGCGGGGGCCGGGCGCGGCCCTGGAGAGAACCCGCTGCCCCCGCCTGACCTGCGCCCACGGTGCCCAGCGCCCGGCCCGGATGCCCAGCCCGGACAGCGCTCCGCCCCGCCCGCCCGCGCCTCCGCCCGCGCCCCCTCCTCGGCCTCCAGGCCCGCGGGGTCGGCACCCGGGACTTCCGTCCCTGCCGTGGGCCCGCCCCGCCTGACCGACGGACGCGAGCCTCAGGCGAAGGCGACGCGCGGAGCCGCCGGGCGTCGGGACCCCGCGGGCGGGCTGGAGGCGGTGGAGCCGGCCCGCGCACCCCCGCCTCGGCGCCTCGGTTCGTGCGCTCGATGCGGCCCCTCCCCCCGGGGTCTCACCGGGCCCCGGCCTGGGCCGCGGGGCGGGGGTCAGTCTCTGGGGGGCGCTTTGGGTGCGAGAAGGGCGCGGGCGCGAGCTGCCGCCGCTGCCGCCAGTGGTCCCCGAGCGGCAGCCGCCGCCTTATCGCGGCACCGCCCCCGCCGGCCCCCGCCCCGCGCCCGCCCATTGGCTCCGCCGCGCCGGGAGCCGCCTCCGGGGCCCCGGAGCCGCCGCCGACCCCCCTCTGCGCTTTGTCTTTCCCTCGCTCGCCGGCCCCCGCCTTTGTCTGCCCCCCCGCGCCGTCCCCCGGACCCCGCGCTCGTCGGCCTCCCTCTGGGAAACCGACCGTCTTGTCTGCCCAGGTCCAGGGCGGCCGCGCGTGGGGAAGGGATGGAAACCCAAGGCCCCGCACCGCTCAGCGCGCGGCGTGGACAAGTTCAGGTTGCGGTCGCAGGACACAGGGCGCTTCCGGCGAACTGTGCCTGGGCACAGATGCCTCAGTTTCTCCCGTTGGCCCTCGTCCCGCCCGGTTGTGGAGCCCCTGCAACCTAAGGGGTCCCGTTGGGGCGACCCCGAAGGAGGGCTAAGGTTCCCGCCTGGCTCCCTGCCTGCGGAGTCTTCCAGCCTCCAGGGGCCGTCCCCGATGTCCACAAAGCGCGCGAAGGAAGATGGAAGCAGCACGCGGTCCCGCCAAGCCGGGCCCCAAGGCTGCGAGGCCTAGGTGGTAGGGAGGTCCCAGGGGCACGAGGGGCCCTGCGGGGTCACCGCCCCAGTGCCCCTGCAGCCCTCGGGTTCCCAGAGCAGACCCTTACACATACCCCAATTGTTCCGGAGGTCCGATTTTTATGGGACCACTAACCCCGGCCCCTGCAGAAGCCCTCAAAGGATTTCCATTCCTCCAGCGAGCAAACCGCGGCACCCAAGCCTCATTATGCAAAAAGGCGCCAAGGTCTGCAGATTTGAGGTGACTCGTTTCAGCCAACGGAGTGTGCAGGGCTTCTCCGTGTGCTCCACCCCCGCCCACTGTCCAGCAGGTCTGCCGTGATCATGGCTACTCGTGGGGAGTAGAGTGGGGTACCCCGGACCTCCTGGACATGGACCTCTACAGGGAGGCCCGGGCTTCCGGCGCCCCAGTGACTCTGGCTTTGGCTGAAGCCAGGCTAGAGGCTGTTTCAGGAAACACAGCCCTAAACAGTCTGTTCTCACACCGTGCGTGAATAGAACTGGTGGCTCCAGAGACGCCCCCGCACTTGTCAGGAACAGAATAGCAACATGCCTCCTGCCTGGCCAAGGAGCAGGGCGACAACAAGCTGCTTAAGCAACCCCCCACCACCACTGTGTCCTTTGCGCTGGCTGCACCCACGCTGCACCTCACTTTTCTTCTTCAGTCTCCAGTTCTGTTCTAGAGGATGAGTTTTGCCTGTGCTGTGGGCTGAGGCGTCCTGAAGGGTGTGTGAAGTCCTTCTACTACTGTATGTGGCTCTGTCTGGGGAAAAACGTCCACACCTGTCATCAGATTCCCGAAGGGGACGCCAGGAGCAGGCCCCTAGCCCACTGGGCAGTCTGGTGGAGGGCCCTTTGCCCTGCAGGTACCACCTGTGGGCTGAGCAGCAGCAAGCTAGCACAGAGTCAACAGGGTGGGCTTGAGGATGAGCAGACTGCAAGATAGAGGCAGCGGGAAGGAGAGAAAATTGACCCAGGCATGGTGGCCTATCTCTCTAATCCCAGCACTCCAAAGGCAAAGGAGTTCAAATTTGAGGCCTGCCTCAACAACATAGATTGTCTCAATAATAAAAAACAAAACTAATACCGCAATACGTGTTGAAAAGTGCACAGTGTACAGTCCTAGTTCCTGGCTACTTAGGAAGGCTGTGGCCAGAGGATCCATTTAGCCTGGGATAACAACGTACTGAGAGTCCCATCTCAAGAAAAAAAGAAGAAGGAGAGAGAGCGAGAAAGACAAAGAAGGAAATTTAAAGTTTAAAAAATGAGCTGGGCAGGTTTAAGAGGGGCTCTGGAAATAGACGTAACCCGGCCTTCTCACTCACTTGGCTTTTCAGGTCCCCCACCTCAGGGTAGAAGGTTTTTAATTTTTCTTCTTTAAACAGGTGTTAAAATTTCTGAGAAAATGCAAAGTGAGGGCGTTTGATGGTTCTGAGCAGCTTCAGAAGAGGGAGGGGCACTTCCTTAAGTCAGCATTTGAAGGACCTGGCCTGGGGACTGTGGAGGCAAGGAGGAGACTGACAGTGGGCTGGGACTGTGTGCGTGCACAGACACGTGCACAGGGACACGCACAAGACTGCAGTCCTGAAGAGGAGACTCCCACCTCACTGGCTGCCAGAAGGATGAAAGGCTCTAAGGATTAGTATGAATGGTAAGGACACTGAGCAGGTACTGTTCAGTAAGGAACACTTTCCACCCTTTCCTGCCGAAGATGACCCCAGTGGCCCAGAAGTGGTCCTTTTTGTGGAGTGGCCTGTTTTCAGCACCTGGCCCCGGGTCCAGCTCCAAGAGGTTTGAATGACACAAGCAAAACCTTGAAATTTTAAGTAGTTAAGAGACTATCTATCATGGATTTTAAAAGAAACTTCTATGGAGCTAGGTGTGATGGTGCACACCTGTAGTCCCAGCACTCAGGAGGTGAGGGAGGCAGGAGGATCATGAATTCGAGGCCAGCCTGGGCTGCCTAGTGAGACCTTGTCTCTAAAAACAAACAAAAGAAACTGGCGTGTCTTCTTCGGAAGAGGTCACTGCTGTGCTCCCACAGGCGCCGGGGCCATTCTGGTGGAGAACCAGGGGCAGAATGACGAGTCAACCTGTCTGGCCATTCCTTGGAAACACAGACACTAGGAAGCAGGCCTGCCGTCTGCATGCAGGCAAACACACACTGATGCCATCTCCCACCAGATTTTCTGGAAATTTTAATTTGTTCTGACAATGAAACTAATACAGCATAAGGACTTACTTAAGCCCTCAGGCGAGGCAAGACAGTATGGCCCTTGGAGGAGGCACCAAGATAGCTGGTAGGAGGCGTTAAGATGGATTGTTGGGAAAGGAATACGCTATGGAAATGAGCTACAGAGATCAGAGGGATAACAATGGCCTGCCTCAACTTTAACCTGGTCCTTAAAAGACAGAAATACCCTATTATTATTAGGGAGAGGCCTGAGAGCAAGGAGGCAGGCTGCTTATGACTTGCCCCTTCGTGGACCTTTTAAGATCTGGGAGACGAAAAGAATGGAATTAGGCTGGCGGGAGAGCAAGCAGTGACAAAAGGAAGTGACAGTTTCCTGGGTCGATGAGTCAAACCCTGGGCTTGGACTTCAGCCTCAGGGCCAGAGCAGCATTTTCTTCTGAGGAGGTCCCCTGAGCTTGTAGGACAGGACATGTGAACTTTCCAACCCCTCCTGATCCCTCGTGACTGGAATTCCCTTGTGACTCAAAAGCCATGGAGCAGCAAAGAAGTCTCTTCAGGAGGAATGCCCCTCCAGCCAGCTCTGCTGGCAGAATGTCCTTTCTACCCAGTCTGCACCAGGGATGGTGGGCATATGCCAGCCCTCGGAGAGGGCCCACAGAGCCCCCACAGAGCTCCAGCTCCAGGGCTGGAGAACACAGTCTACAGAGGCTTAGAACTCCCAGTCATCCACCTCCAGCTCTTCCAGGTTTGTCACCAGGCCAAAGATTCCACTCTGATCCTGAGACTGGCTGCCCTCAAAATTGGTGATGGGGGTGACAGGACGAAGTAACTCAGGCAAAGCCTCTGAGGCACGTCGCTTGATCTGGGGAAAAGAAAAGAGTTGGGTGATGGGTTCTGTGGCTCAGGTCCCCGAACACCCCAGGGCAGGAGCCACACACTGTAGTCACAGAAGGCTGTCACACTTAGAAGACAATGAGAGAAGGAGTGGTGCCTTGTAGGGCTTCAGAACCGTGGCCATTTCTCTAGGGCAACAGAGGAGTAAGGATACCTGTGACCTCACAGCGAGAACCACAGGCTACTGTACCTGCTTGAAGAAGGAGTGGCTCAGGAGAGTGCTGGCACTGGGCCTGGAGAGAAAGGGGAAGAGATTCACATCACCCCGTGACTGGCTTTCCAAATCCTGCACCTCACACCTATCCTCAGGCATCCTCTACTCCTTCCCTTAGCTCACTAAGACATGACAGCCAGAGCCACTGAGGCACGCTTCTGAATAAGAAGCTGGTCCTTCTTGCTGTGGGGCCCCACATTCTTTCTGGGAGCCCAAACCCTTAGACAGGCGCATTCTCTCAAATCCTGCCCCAACTCCAGCTGTCCCTCTGCACCCCCAACCCCGACCCCAGGCCAGTGGATACCTTGCATCAGGGTTGCGCTGAAGGCACTGCTCCACAAAGTGGTGAAAGTGGGGGGAGAAGGTTCGGTGGTAAGGGTGGAAAGGTGAGTCCCCGTTGGAAGGCCGGGGGGTGCTGGTGGCCAAGCTCTCACCCAGGCCAGGATTGGCCACTGAGCATGAGGGGCTCATGGTCAGCTCCTCAGCAGGGATGGTGCTGGTGTCCAGCAGGCAGGGCACTGTGCCATTCAGTTTCTCCAACAGCATCTGGGGAGGAAAGAACCAAGACCTGGGCTGGAGAAGCCCTGGAAGACCTAGAGAATCCTCACAAATACACTCCTCCCCACTAACAAATGTGATCTTTTGGGAGTAAAAATGGAAGTGGAATAAGTCTATCTTTTCCAAAGGAATGCAGGCCACTGGCTTGGCAGCTCCTCCCTAGCTAGGCTGACAGGAGGAAGAGGAGAGGAGGGGCTGTGAGAAGGACCACTTCGCTATGGCTGGAAGGAAGGGTCATTTCCTCTCCTTCCTTACAAGACCTCGAATTCCTTTAACTGTAGAGAGCCCTCACTCTGGGATGGCTGCAGTTTGTCAGGCCCAGGTGGGTCTGATGGGGTCCACAATGCAGCACCTGCCACATCCTGGGTTGACACTGTCATGCTGCAAAGGAGCAGTGTGCCCAGTGGCAGCCCAGGCTTGGGCAGCTGTTCCAAAGCCCTTAAATTCATACACCTGTAAAACCAGCCTGACCGTGAGTAGTGCTGTTTTCATGGGTGTCCTGTTCAAGCCCGAAATCTGGAAATCTCTCAGGCTGCTGTAGCCACTAGACACATGTATCTATTTATTTTAAATTAAGTTAGGTTTAAAAGTCAATCTCACAGGCTCACTGGCTACATTTAATACTCAATAGCCACAGGTAGCTATTGGCCGCCATACTGGACAGCACAGGTCTAGACACTTCCATCACTGCAGAGTTCTGCTGGACAGTGCTGCTTCTAGATCTGAACCTTTTCATGTTCATACTAAATAGTCTTCTAACTCTTTCCTGAGCATCCTTCTGTTACTGAATCATTTTTCTCAGATTTCTAACTAGTCTACCAGATCTAATCCATCTGCTAGAATGACCTTTCTAAAAATCTATACTCTACCTGATACTATCACTCCTGAGCCTAAAATTCTTCAGCAATTCTCGCATGCTTTGGGACTGGAGCCAAATGCCCTAGGGTGATATGCAAAACTCTTCATGAGGTACCCTTACTTCCTTCTCTAGTCTTATAATCTAGCAACTCTCAGAAGCACCTATACCCCAGACATTTACGACTCTTTCATGTGCTCAAGACCCTGTTCTTTCTTAGCTCTGGGCCTTAAAGAGTCAGCTTTTGTCCCCACTCTTCATATTGTGAACTGCTCTTTGCCTTTACGGCTTGACCAAGAACCCTCCCTGGGCCACTGCTCTAGATGGCTCCTTTGGCCACTCTCCCCACAGCATAAGCAGTCTGCAGGCTGGTGGGAGAAGCTTGTGCAGCTGGTAGGAGAGGCTTGCTCAGAGCCCAGCTCACCCCCTCCCAGCTCTAGACTATGCTCCTGATACCAGGAACTCAGGTAATCCCTGCCCAGATGACCCCAACTCCACTTTCTGTGCGTGATGAGACCTGGATAAACCTCTTTCCTGAGTCTGTCTGCCCAAGCGCAGACTGTGCCGCTGGCTGTGTACCTTACCCCTGAGGGGTGGCCAGAGGGAAGGGATATGTAGGGGCATGAACAGAAGCTGAACTATAGAATGGAAGTTTCAAAAGTGTGTGCCAGAATGTGGTGGCACAAAACTCCGAGATGTGTGAGAACTTGAAATTGGAAAATGACTTTCTAGGTACATTTATCAAGGTAGAAAGACAGAAAATATCTGATAAATTTATAAAAATTGCTTAGCTTGATTTGTACACTTTACAGAGATAAGTGGTACATGGGCCTCCATTTGCATTCTTCTTCCTGCTCCCCTCTTCTTTCTGCTCCCCTGCCCAGGCTAGGCTCTGACCACAGCATTTATCACACAGAGAATATTCATAAGCAACCTTCCACTGCAGGGGGGTTGGATAAATTTCTCGAAGAAAAGGACTGTGTCTTTCATCTTAGTAACCCAAGTCAGTATCCATGAGTATGGCAGGTAAGAATAAACGTTTGTAGAAGTCAGGCAGACAAGAGGGAACCACTGGGCTGCAGCTCACCTGAGTGGCAGGCATATCCTTAAAGGGGACATGGCCATTGGCCAGTTCACAGGCCGTGATGCCCACGCTGTAGATGTCAGACTTGGCATCATAACCCTGAAGATTCTGAGTCAGGAAGAAAAAAGATACAGATGACTCCATGGCACAGTCCTAGTCTTTCTTTATAAAAAGAAGGGTATGACAAAAACTGAGGAGGAAAAGAAAGCCTGTCCCACAATCAGGACCAGCTGCTAATGACTCTCCTCATCATTGCTGCTATTTGACAAGGAACAAATGTTTGAGACTACTATATAATACGCAGGAAGATATGCCAGAGCTGGTGCTCTTGCTCATCATGGGGAGCTAAAAAGCACCAAGTATTTCCAGAATGTTCCCTATCCATAGGATGGGAAGATCCCTGAAGAGAGTTGAAATAGTGTCAAGCATGGTTTGGGACCCCAGTGAGTAAAAACCACATCCATCCACAGTAGGCAGGTAATACCTATGCTGAGTGGTGCAAGGCACACCTGGCTAGCAGGAACCCCTCCCACCAGGATCCCTTTACTCTCTTATCCCAAGAGACTCATAAGGGTTTCCTTGGGAAATCATGAGTTGGTGAGAGATGGGGGGCTCCTCGGGCCCCAGGGCACAGACCTGCTGGAGGACCTCTGGGCTGAGCCAAGGCAGAACCTTGATGCTGTACTTGGGGAAATCGTGGACCGCACGCTGCCGCTGCCCATGGCTGATCATGCTGAGGTTGCTGCGTAAGCCAGACAGGTAGACCTTCCCATCCACAGAGATCAGAATGTGGCTGGCTTTGACACTCCTGCGGGGAGGCCAGGAGTGTATCATGGGTGGCAGGAGCTCCTCACACTACAAACCTGTCTTCACATTCTAGATCTGCTCAGCTCTCTCCCAGGTGTATATTATACATAAACATATGCATTTTATAAAAAAACTCCCCACATTTTTATGAAGAATTTCAAACACACAAAAATGAGAAAAACAATCCATTTACATGTTATCGGATTTTAAAACTTACTTATGTCCCTCTACTACTTCCTATAAATGCTTTTCTTTTAAGACAGGGTCTTTTAGCCAGGCATTGGTGGGTCACACCTGTAATCCTAGCTACTCAGGAGGCAGAGATCAGGATGATTGAAGAGATCAGGAGGATCACAGTTTGAAGCCAGTCCAGGCAAACAGCCTGCAAAACCCTATCTTGAAAATACCCAGTGGCTCAAGTGGTAGAGTGCCTGCCTGGCAAGCATAAGACCAAGTACCAAGGTTCAAACCCAAGTACCACCCCACCCCCCCAAAAAAAGACAGAGTCTCTCTATGTAGGTGAGGCTGGAAGGCCTTGAACTTGTGATTCTCCTGCTTCAGCTTTCTGAAGGCTGGGATTACAGGTATGTACCACCAGCCAAGCCTACAAATGCTTTTAATCTGCACTTTTGTTTGTAGGCATTCTTGTAAAATATACAATTATTTTGTATGCATATGTTTTAAATTTACCTAATGATTCTGTGTTATGCAATTCATTCTTCATTTCCCACACAGTGCTATGTTTTCAAGATCAATTCTAGGCAGGTGCTGGGGGCTATGCCTGCAATCCTAGCTATTCAGGAGGAGGCAGAAATCAGGAGGATTGCAGTTTGAAGTCAGCTTGGGCAAACAGTTTCAGAGACCCAATCTCAAAAAAAAGGTACTGGTGGAGTGGCTCAAGGTATAGGCCCTGAGTTCAAACCCCAGTACTGCAAAAAAAAAAAAAAAATCTATTCAGGCAGGGTGCCAGTGGCTCATGCCTATAATCCTAGCTACTCAGGAAGCAGAAATCAGGAGGATCGCCATTCAAGGTCAGCCTGGGCAAAAAGTTCACAAGACCCTATCTTGAAAATAACTAACACAAAAAAGGGTTGGTGGAGTGGCTCAAGTGTTAGAGTGCCTGTCTAGCAAGCATGAGGCCCTAAATTCAATTGCCCCACCTACCCCCCCCAAAAAATCTATTCTAGATCTATCTATCTACTATCTGTCATCTATCTACTATTTATCTTTTATCTGTCTACTATCTACATCTGATCTTTGTTTCTAATCGCCACCTTGAGTCCAGGGTGGGATCTAACACTTCACTCATGTATTCTCCAGGGAGGGACACTCATGCTGCCTCTACTTAGTACAAATATGACCAGTGACAGCTGCATACATGGCCCCAATGGGCCTTTGTGAGGGTTTATTTGGGATATGCTCCTAGAGGCAGCATTGAAGGTCCTTGTTCCATTTCCCTGCCTGGCTGCATTGAGGCATCTTCTATCTGGACAGGAAGCTCCATGAGCCTCCTAACCACCCTCAGTCTCATGTATAATGTGACATCTTGTTCTCATTTGGTTTGCTCTGATTGCTAGGTTTTAGTGTCTGTTCCTGTAACTACTAGTGATTAAAGTTTCCTCTTTTATAAACTTCGTATCTTTGCCCAGTTTCCTATCGCTTTGCTGTCCTGTTTCTCATTGCTTTGCAACATTTTCTTGCTCCTAATCTCCTGTGTGTTTTAGATGAAGCTAACATTTTTTTCTACCTTGTTACTCCTGTGTTCACTTTGTTCCTAGTATTATTTATTGGATAGAAATCTTTAATCTTTTTTTTTACTGTGTAACATCTGGAAATATTTAATCTTGATATAATCAAATTCATCATTTTTTTTACCTCATGCTTTGTACATCTTAAATGTTTAAAAATTC